AAATAAGGATCAGCACAACAAGATGTATCTACCCGTAAAATTGAAAAAAAAAATCTGTCGACCTGTTTTGGAGTTATTGTCCCTAAAATATATCCATTTTTGCAGTTATTGTCCCTAAAATATATCCATTTTTGCAGTTTTTTTATCTGTTATCATGAACATATAGGAGCTAGGTAAAAAGTGCTCATTGCAAAAATGGTCAGTATGACAGGATCTAGGTACATGTACTGTACATGTAGCTATCGGTGGATAAATTAATTGTAATTTGATTTTTTTTTACATTATGAGATCAGATAGGCAAATGCTGTTAACTTTACCATTGTCGTACCAAAAATGTCTTAGCATATATATATGCATTAGGATTAAGGGTAGGTAAGGAGTCAGGAAACAACACTGTATCATTTAAAGGTATAAGTCAGTATGGATGAAAGGTGTGTTGCATTGACATTGAGACGGTCAGCATCTTGTTATTAATAGATCAGTTTGTGACATACACAGTATATGTTTTCTTTCATCTCCAACTAAATGGATTGGTCATATCCATGAAGACCACAAGTATGGATTCTTAAACAACGTCTCAGCATATATATATGTATGCAATGTAAATAAGTTGTAAGTTTGTAACGTAAGTTTGCAATCATACCACATCTTCTTTTTATATTAAGTTCTCTTTTTCACTGTCCTGAACAATCATGTTGCAGCTTCTTAAAGAACATCATTCTGTTTAACCATGTTAACAATTTTAAACTACTGTGATTTAGATATTACTGTGACAATTATATTAATGAGAAAAATGGGACAGTACCAAGTTCGCAATAATTAGAACTGAAAAATGGGACAGCATCAAAAACTTGTATTTATAATTTCAGTAGTGATTATCTTTCATTAATTTTTGCAATTGCATTAATTAGGACTACATTGTTGCCAGAGGTCAAAGATTTGCAATAATTAATGCATGCATTAATTTATGAATTTACAGTAATGGCCTATGACAAAATTGATCATACATGTAGTATTTTCATGTTATTCGCACTTAAATAGGAAGTTAATTTGTTCAAGCTATTTGTACCATTTATATGTTAAATATAATATAAATTTAGATATATGTAGTTTATTTTTTGTTCGTTCAAGATGTTGTCTGTTAGTCTGTGCAGGATGTATAGATTCACAGTCTTGTCAATGGAAATGGGGACATTAAATCCAAATGGTCTCTTGTAAGCTGAAGTAATTGCTCTATGCACATTAAAGAACCCTTGCAGCAAAAATGTTTGAGGGGTCCTAAGGTGGCTTATTGCAAGGCAAAATGCTTACCCTATCAAACATACCTTTATTTTCCAGCGGCTGCAGTGAGTCCAAATTTTCCACCCTTAATCCGGGGAGTCATCCAACCTTGTTGAACCTTATTCTATTGTATTTATTGTTCATTGGTTCTCTTTCTGAATTATGTATGGCAAAACATGATTGCCATTGAATGGACATTTAACAAGCAACAACCAATCACCAACCTAACATCCCCAAATGTTCTATTCTGGATCAGATTATTAAGGTGGTACCAAACACCTTCACTAAAATTAATTTGGCTCGTTTAATTTTCATAAAATTTTGACAAAGTATTTACTTTGACCCTTTGACAAAAATATAAAAATTTCAAAAAATTTGAACCAGCCAATTTATCAGAAAAATTAGACTGGTTATATAGCAGTTTGACAAACACTAACTTTGATCATTGAGAAGCTTAATATTCCCTTAACAACACAACGTAATTTAAACGTTTAGCTGATTTTACTCCCTTTTACTTGAGTTATCTCCCTGTAGTGTTGGGTACCACCTTAAAAGCAAGCTTAAGACTCAAATAACTAACAGCATGGAAGACAAGATAAATGATAAAGCTGTTGTTTTCCAAAGAATAAATTCTTTGCTATTTGTGAACGTAAGATGCTCCAAATTAATAAAATGACTTCCCTTAATGGGGCCTCCAATAATCCAATGTTCCCCATACTAAAAAATACGTAATTATGTCAAGTTCTACAAATTGATTAAAAAGGTTCCCTTAATGGAGCCTCTGATGATATCCAATGTTCTCTGCACTACAAAATACCTAGAAGTATAGTCATTGATTATTTGTATCAATATCTGACTCTCTAGTGTATTGGTGTATTAGGGCTTGTAAGAGAATACTCTATATTAAATACAATATAAATATTTATATTACAGTACATACTGGGTGTTTCTGTCGAAAATCATTTTTAGTGGTGTGAAGTTGATCACTTTGAAACATGGTATTTGCTGGTAATTGGGGAATTGATATCTCTGAGATAAGACCTTGTCAAATTATATCTATTGAATATACAAATAGATATTTTTGAGTGAATCATGCTGCAATGACCAGCAATTTGTGTGAAAAATCACCACTTCGAGTGATTTTTTACAGAATTGCAATGTTTGTATTGTAATTCTACTTCCCTATCATAAAGTGATTATAATTGGACAAACAGTAACGATATCTCATGTCGTAATTTACCGAGTCTTAAATATTGGATTTTTCTGTTTTGATTGTGTAATAGTGTTAATATACAGTGTGTAGAGAATTTATCCGTTAAGAGTTGACCTATGGCAGTGTATGGTACAAAAAATTTTTTTTCCTCATCTCAGCTTATGAGTTAACTGACCATAAGAGAAATTTATGTATTATATACAATGATTTATAAGGGATGTTTAGTATAAATCATTGCGACTAGCTATACTGCCCACCAAAACAAGTAGAAATCTAGAGGTTACCACACACAAAGCCTTCCACAATTAACTAATCGTAAATCATCTCAAGACTTCAGACAAGTTGCGAATTAAATGAAGATTGCCAGAAAAAGCCATAATAAAGAGAGCAATCCAAAAAATGATACAAAGCTTAAAAAATGTATTAAAAAATATCAATATGTTTCAAAGCATACCCGGTACCCCACCAAAAATTCAGGACGCAACTCGGGTGCTATAAAAGGACCGACAGTTCTTGTCCTAAATATGGTACATTTTCTTTTACTATGTATACGTAGGAATTTGTGAATTTCCTACCCTTAAATGACATCTCTGAATTACCATAAAATTGAGAATGGAAATAGGGAATGTGTCAAATAGACAACAACCCGACCAAAGAGTAGAAAACAGCCGAAGGCCACCAATGGGTCTTCAACACAGCGAGAAAATCTCACATTTTCAAAACCAAAAACGGGGGATATGCAACTCAGGTTGTTCACCAATCAAAATGATTTGGTATATTAGCTTCTAAAAATATTACCCAGAATTCATTAGATCCTAAAACATTGGATTGCTTGAGTAAGAGTCCTTTTGTTTTGTATTATGTTGCTGTATTTGGTAGACAAGTTATATATATATCTTTTGATAACATAAATAATGAATATCAATCTATTGTGGATTCATTTATTTTTTTCATGTATTGAGGAAAAATTGTATTTTTGGTGAATTTTAAATTGCATGGTTTTGCTAAAGTCTGCTTACATCGATGCTTATAAAAAATTTGTACTTCAATATTGAACATTGAAATTGGGTCATAGCTACCTACAAAATCCATGAAAATTGCTATCCAATGAATAATAATGAATCGACAGACTACAGTGGATTCATTAATATTGGAGGGATACAAATTTTCGTGGATTTCGTGATAATCCGGGAGCCACAAATTCCAATGTCCAACGAATTACAAATTTTCTATACTATAGTAGTATATGCAGACTTTGGCAAAACCATGAAATCAACTATCCTCGAAAATGCAAGTTTTTCTCAATCCACGAAAATTGGTACCAATGAAAATAAATGAATCCACAGTATGAGTAAAAACGAATGTTGGGTATAGGGCAATTATCAGAGACAGCAGACCAAAATCACACAATCTGCAACAATTAAAACAGCTGCTGTGTCCTATGCCACATGTCAAACTCTATCATGTCTTAAAAGTCACTAGTTCAAAAGTTGAAAATAGAATTAACAATAGACTACCAAACATCCAACAGCAACAACAAATTCTTGAATTAACCAAAAAAAATAGATATCTGTCACCAAGGTCCAGAGTACTGTTAGATAAGGGGGAGCTAACTCATATGTGCTGGAACCAAGGGACAGGGGGTCAGTCTATCGCTAGACTTAATGTTCTGATAGGCATAGCTAAAACGCAAGGAAGGTTTTCATAATTTTATCAACAATAACAATTTAGATGAATAATGATAACAATCAATTAGTAATCAATGCCAAATAATAATAATAATTAAAGTACAAAGTAAAAAATCAAAATATCAACTCCAAAGTAAAACTATTTCTCCTTACAATGTAGAATGTAAAATAAATGCCAAAACTAATAAAACAATAAAATGAAGTTGCCTTTTTGCCTGGTCACATATGACAAAGCACATGAACTAACCAGGTTCCTGATGTGGCCCTCTTGGTATCTTCTGGTATCTTCTGGTACCTTCTGGTATCTTATGGTATCTTCTGGTATCTTCTGGTATCTTTAGGAATCATCAAACTTCTGGCTCTTTTTTTAGGACAGACATATAAACAGGTGGCAGGCATGATGTAGATTTTAGAGATGTCTAGTGTAGCAAATTTAATCTCGGGGGGGGGGGGGGGGGGGGGGGCACTTCAATACTTAATTGATAGGGGGTGCTGCTGGGGTTCTGTTACCCAACCCTTTTCATATAATTTAATCTTAAAAAATGTATGCCCTTTTCATATATTGCGTAGGTAAAAATGTACCCTTTTCTCATATTGGTTGGGTTTCGTGTAGTGTGTTGAAAAGTGGAATATTTGAGGCTAAGATTCCTTATGTAATTTTTACTTACGGCGAGAATTTCGGATGTTAAAAATATGACAGGGCTTTTCATATCATAAGTAATAGAAACTTTATAAACCTTATCATGTTTTCTGATAGTTTTCTCCACCTATTCACATATTTTCAAGTAAGTATTTGCAATTCTGTTTTGTCATTTTAGGCAAATGAAGCTGGATTTGGACACATATGCTCAGTCTGTTGGTAAAATTTCTGAGGAGGCCAAGAAAGTTGGAGGGCCTCAACAAGACACCGGTGCAGTGTGTCAGATATGTCATAAAACCAAATTTGCTGATGGAGTGGGACATAGATGTCACTACTGTCAGCTGAGGTCATGTGCAAGATGTGGTGGGCGCATTGCCTTGAAACAGAAGGTTTGTATTTGGACATATAGCACGTTTAATATTCTGTAACATCCCCTTGGAAGAGTTACCCCCCTTTCTCTTTATTACATGTTTTGTATTCTGTAACATCCCCTTTGAAGAGTTAGCTCCCTTTCTTTTTATTACATGTTTTGTATTCTGTAACATCCGATGGGAAGAGTTAGCTCCCTTTCTGCTTCCATGTGTAGTAGCTGATTGTAGAACTTACAATGTACCTGCTGATACAGTCATAATAATTTTAGAATAAATTATTTTTTTAACAGCAAAATCTTGTAAAAATCTGGATTTTAAAATAAGCAAACTTAAAAGTAATGGTGAACTTTTAAAACTTTTGGAGCAGAATCAACACAGCATAAATATACTGTGGATTCATTATTATTTGTTGGATTCTAATTTTCGTGGATTTCGTGGGTACAAGTGAACCACGAAATTAAATGTTCAATGAATGACATATTTTGTATAGGCTTGTACGCAGACTTTAGGTAAAACCACGAAATTAAATATCCACGAACATGCCAATTTTCCTTAATCCACGAAAATAAATGAATCCACAGCCTTAAAGTTTTTTTGAACAAATGAACTAAGTTTAAATTCCCAAGTACAAATTTGGTTTATTTACAAAATGTTACGGCCTAGATATGTGAAGCTTAATTTGTAGTGTTGCATTTCTCTTTTTACTGTGATAAATGACACACTTGCCTTAGCTTAAGCTGTCATTACAAAGATAATTAAGTTATATTTTATTTGGTGAACATGTACAAATGCATGCAGTAGATTTACCTAATTGTAGGCTATACAGAGCTTACGCTACTGGGCAACTGGGGTCCAAGAAGTCACTTTTCAGTGTCCATCCGTTGCTTTTCCTGACTGTCAAAAGATATATCCAGTTGCCGAGGTGTTTACAACGGTCGCTTTTGTCATCCACAATTTTCAATTTTTGGCAAGTTGATATAACAGCAATTTTTCATTTATAGAATAAGTAAAGAAATTCAAAGACATTTAAATTTAGCAACTAATATTTTAGAAACTTGGCTAAATCCGCTATAGATAAATTTGTAGAGACATATGCAGGGCTTTCAAAATATTATTGCAACGGGGGATTTCTATGGACTCATTTATTTTCATTAATATCATTTTGCGTCGATTGAAGAAAATTTTTATTTTAGCAGATATTTGATTTCATGGTTTTGCCAAAGACAGCATACAAGCCTATAGAAACCATGTACTCTGTTGAACATTTAAAATCAAGGTTAGAATATGCCCCTTAAAATCCACGAAGATTGGTATCCCAAGAATCATGATTAATCCATGAAGATTGGTATCCTAAGAATCATGATTAATCCACGAAGATTGGTATTCCAAGAATCATGATTAATCCACAGTAAACCCCCAAAAATTACACGTGAGAGTTGTGTACAATGGTGTCTGCTCTATGGTCGGGTTATTGTCTCCTTGACACATTCCCCATTTCCATTCCCAATTTTAAAGATTTCAAAGTAATTACAGTTGATGACCATTTAGTAAAACCAGGGGTAGATCCAGGATTTTTTAAAAGGGGGGGGGGGGGTAATTCTGAAATATATACCGCCACACAATTTTTGGATGATATTATGCTAAATAATCATATAAATCATGAGCAACATGAGAATTTTTTCAGGGAGATTAATAGGGGCATACACCCTCTACGCCCCCTGCATCCCCACTGAAAATGTTGATCAAAGTAATAAAAGCATTATTCCTCTTGCCTTTGGTTTTGTCAATTGGATGTAGAAATTCTTCAAATTGCACAAGGTGGCCGAGTGGTCTAAGTAGTTACTACTGTAAACACTAGCCAGTCAACACTGAGGTTGTGAGCTCGAACCCTGCTCGTGCGGGTGCACACAACTCCAATCTTAATTGACTAGGATTGTCAGTTTTTCTATCGAAGGTCGGTGGTTTTCCCCGGGCACTCCGGCTTCCTCCACCAATAAAAACTGGCCGCCACGAAATAGCCCAAAAGCGTGCTTAAAAGTGGCGTTAAAACACCAAAAATCAATCAATCAATCAAATTGCACACCATTCTTTTCCCTTATATCAGCACCTTTGTGATGTCATTGAGGATTCTTGTTAGGAATATTTGTATAATTAATAAAATAGACATTACGTAAATCAATTTGGGCTTTTAATATTTGTCTAGGAATATACGATGAAACGTAACTGTAATCGTTTCAATTAAATTGAGTCTCAATAGAGAGTTGCATCATATTTTCATGATACAACACGACAAAAATAATTAATAAATTGTCGAATATTTACAGTTGATGAGTAATTATAATAATGTTTGTTCTGTCGGTATTTCTCATCAATTAATAATTTACAAAAAATGAATGAAATATTCACTGTTTGTTATTGGAAAATATGTAATCTGTTAGCTAAATATAATATTTCCAATTTCAATTTCTTTGTCAAGGTATGCTTGTGTGAAAGATAAAAACGTATAGACTTCAGTAAAGATACGATTTTTATACAATATATGCATGGTCAGAATTTAAATTTATTTGTAAAGTTATAAAAAGGAATTTCCATTTCTAAATTTACTTTCAAATGTATCATGCATTGAATAGCATTACTTGGCTTTTTCTCTTGTTTTGTAGGGAGTACAAATTAATTGATATTTTCAGACAATGAAAGTATATTAATTGTTTATATCCTCTAATTAAACAATTGTGCTTCAATGTTTTGTCTTTTAATTCTTTTGTTAGTTGTCTTTTGTTTTTAAGAATTTGGCAATTTGGCATTGCTGAATGTAGAGAGGGGGATGGGATCTGAATTAAAATTTATAGAATTTATTTATAACTTGCCAAAATGTAGTTTATATCAAGCCTTTTTCAAAAATATAATAAAAGAAAGTATGAGGCCACCAGACAAAATAGGTAAATTCCTAACACATTCCTTTATAAAAGTTTCAATGTCTTAGTTATCTTCCCTTATATTGCAAAGTTGAAAAAAAAAATAAACCAAATAAAAGATATTCTGTATTTGTTAATATAAAGTTATATATTAAATCACATAATTTTCAACATTCAGACAAAAAGTCTTACAAATAAATTACATTCCTCTCTAAAAATTTGCTCATTGCATTAGGTATAGAAACACTAATTAGGGCCCTGAGTCGGAAAGAACATTCAAGAAAGTAATACATATTTTTTAAAACAAAATAGTTCCTACACATAGCTGTATCTTTGTCAATAGGTGAAATATTTGGGTTAAGTTTTGGTATCAAATGAAATCTTGGGGACTTGGGATCACTGTAGAACCCTTATTGAAAGTTTCTTTTGAATAATAAAAAAATTATATAACATTATAATAGGAGGGTTCATTTACCTTGTTGTTCAGGTCAGAAGTACCTGTTTTTGTACTATCAAACTTCCGGGAACCCGTTCGCTCTAATATGCAATTAAAGGTATGTTGAATTTTTCAGCACAAGTTAGAATAAAGACTAGTTTTGACATGAAATGACTGCCACTTTATTTGAACTTAAGACAAAGTAGCCGCTATTAATGCTTGAAATTGCAGAATTTAACATAGAAAGCAATGGGGCTATGAATTAGTGGTTTTATACCATTAAAGATCTACACATGTAGACCTATTGTTTTCTGCTATTTTACAATCCAGCGAGGCTGATCCAACAATTCACTGTGATGTTTACAGTAATTTTGATATTTGAACGTGGGACCAATAATGTAAAAATCCCAGTTTGAACACAAAAGGGAATATCTTTCCAATTGACAGATCAGAAAATTTAGGATAATATTTAATATATGTAGATTCTACCAATTTACCAAATTAGATGTAATATTTCTCTACATCAGACAAATTAATCATAAAATTTCAAAATACAAGGCTGCAACTTTAAAACTTTAAAAGTACAATTTAATAATTTTGGAGACTTTTTTTTCAATTTCAAATAAATCACATTGAAATATAAGCATATGATTTTAGGATTAAATATGATATCTCGATAAGTTTTATGTTTACTTTCATTTATTATATTGCGGAGGGCATAATCTTTTTGACCTGTCCGTCTGTCCGTCCGTCTGTCCGTCAGTCCATCAGTCCTGTTTCTTGTCATCGCAACTCCTCTCAAACCACACAACAGAATTTCATGAAACCTTTTCAGATAATAAGGACATACTATGCAGATGTGCATATCGACAGGAAATTACGATTCAATTTTTTTTCTAGGAGTTACGCCCCTTTGAACTTATTTGCTTCATTATACTACTGCAACAGTTTGTCATCGCAACTCTTCTGAAACCACACAACAGAATTTCATGAAACAATTTTTAGATAATAAGGACATACTATGTAGATGTGCATATCGACAGGAAATTACGATTCAATTTTTTTTCTAGGACTTATGCCCCTTTGAACTTATTTGCTTCAATATACTACTGCAACAGTTTGTCATCGCAACTCCTCCGAAACCACACAACAGAATTTCATGAAACTTTGTAGATAATAAGGACATACTACGTAGATGTGCATGTCGACAGGAAATTATGATTCAATTTTTTTTTCTTTTACAATTTTTTTTTCTTACTGTTATTTTATTTCTCCAGTGACAATATGGGGACGTGGGGTATGTGAGTGCACTCACTAAGGTTCTTTAATTTTGACATGATGTTTTTGTTTAAGCAAAATTCCCAGAAAACCCAACATAAAATATTTGTGCAACTATTTGTATCTGGATTCCATAACAATTAAAACATGGTTCAATACTGTCAATTCTTTTATCCTTTCGCAGTTACAATTAGTATTGTGCTTTTATGAATGTCTCTCATTCTACCGTACATGTGACAGCTCCCATGGGAGTCTGCATGAGTTTTTAATATTATATATACATATTGCTTTGAATTAAAAAAAATAGGTCGTTTGTCTTAGTTTTTTTAAACTGTCAGTAAAGGTCTCCTTTTAATGTTATGTGATCTTGCGTGATAAGTGATGAAAAATGTATGAGATTAGTCTCACAGGAGGTTATGTCAACTCTCATAAATTGTTTCAGTTTTAATATGCATGCAATCAACAGATATTAATGATATGACTTGCAATTTGCTCAGAGATCAAACTTTATATGGTGATGAATGAGTGTTTAATATTAATATTCTATTTGCCAATTACCGATTTGATTCTTTTAGTACACACTTTTAACACAAGTTGTTTCCCTTTTCCAATTGTAGACTGGTTTTAAATGGGACAAAATAAGTCACTGCCCATGCAAAGCGTGATAACTTGAAAGTGTCATATTGGGATTTTTAACCATTTTTTTTTATGAAAAATAACTATTAATATCAAAAGTTTTTAGCTTAACAAAAGATAAAATGTAATTAAAAGATTTAAAAATCATTAAGATTACACACAATAGGGAGAGATAAATTGGCTCCTTCAGCAAGCTCTTCATTGTCAATAAAACTTTATGTTCCTCCTTAGGAAAACAACTTGTTCAAATGGATCTCTAATTATAAGGTCAATTAAGGAATTGGCAACTAGAATATTTGTTAAGGATGTTTGCAGGTGAAATTTATTTCATCGTTTTCATAATTGAAATTTTTTTCAGTACAATTGCTTTTAGTTTTTTTATGAAATAAATTCTAAAAGTTTGATATAAATTTGATATATTATCGAATTAGTTGTTCTCTACATGAAGATGTTCATTGCTAAGTCTTTTCTCCAATGCATCATAATTGTTTACTGTTTGATTGTAGAGTAGCAGTGTCATTTTTATGCCCCATTTATGGGCATTATGTTTTTCGGTCTGTGCTTTTGTCTGTCCGTCCTTCCGTCCGTCTGTTCCGCTTCAGGTTTAAGTTTTTGGTCAAGGTAGTTTTTGATGAAGTTGTAGTCCAATCAACTTGAAACTTAGTACACATGTTCCCTATGATACGATCTTTCTAATTTTAATGCCAAATTAGAGTTTTGACCCCAATTTCACGGTCCACTGAACATAGAAAATGATAATGCGAGTTGGGCATCCGTGTACTATGGACACATTCTTGTTGAATTTTGAAAATGTCTAATGGGAAAGGTCTGACAAAATTAATGATTTTGTTAATAAATTTCAGAGAGAATAATAAAAATGAGGAATTTAATTTGGCATTTTGATTCTTATGTAGACATTCCTACAACTTTTCCCTATATATATGTATATGCTTACCAGAATGTTATTATTATATATGTATGTGTTGGTGTTGGTCTTATTTTTCCTTCTTTCTTCTTTCTATCTGGACACATAGCCGACGAAACCTGGAATGGAAGAACCTAAACCACAAAGCTCATCTACTGCTAGTGTAAGTTTTTCCCTAGATATGCATGAGTTATCTTCCATGGATGACAGAGTTATTCCCTGTAGTTACTTACATTATAATGCAACAGTTTATAAAATATTGCCAGAATCATTGTGATATAAATTTATTTACTAAATTCTGAATAGAATCTAATGCACAAATGACAATACTGGCATTTCGCGATTCTTTCTGACCTAATATCAGGGAAAGATACGCTACACAAATTCATTTTTAAAGGACATGTTTTGGTACAATGCTAGAGTAAAATTTGCAATAGCTGAAATATGAAATAACAAAATACAAAAAAATGTATTATATTTTTAGTATTTGATGAAAATATTGTTTATTAACAACTCTAGAGCTAGATTATATAGTTTGCTTAATTAACTGTGTAGCTATATTATAGTATGTGCAAAGACAGTCTGCTACAAACCAGTTACAAAAACAATCAATTTGACAGTTGCATTTCAATGGAGGTAAAAATAGGTTGCATGATGGTTACAAGGAAGTGTTTAGAAATGTTTTTGATGTACTTTATTTCTAAAATGTCATTATCTGTTACACTATACTGAATTTCATCAAACACTTTAAAATCAGAAATTTTTGCGATTGCAATTATTATCAGGTGATAATGATGATAATGGTGCTAAATTGTGACATGATAAAAGTAAAAAAAAAATGGATATGAAAATCTGATACCATTATTATTCGTGAAATTGTAAACTTTTAATTAATCTTGCTTTTTTGTCTATTGTTCAGTAATTGAATTAATAAATGCATGTAAAAATTTCTGAATGTAGTAAAATATTGGTTCCTGTTAAAAGACCCTTCAGTTCGATATGTTGAGTGTAAGGTAACAAATATTAATTTGCTGAATAAATCAACTGTGAAATTTTATAGGAAAATGTTTCAGTTTTCGTACAAAATTTTGAATGGATATTCTTTCACAATGTCTTGAAAGGTTTGAAAGGGTCTGCTATACACAATTGTTTACTGTGTTTCTGTTTAGTTCTTTCGTAGAAAATTAAAATGTTCTCAAACAAATCTTTACAACATAATAATAATTTTTATTGTCATATAAACAAACTAAACATGTTTGTGATAAAAAAAAATATCCATATACAAGTATATATATATATCAATGGAATATAAATTGAACATGAATCATTAATCATTAATGCAGTCAAGAAAAAGAGAAATGCTTTATTTCTAGCATTTATTGATGTGCCTTTATATTTTCTTATTATAGCATGTTGTATGTATATCATACTGTTAGTTTGTGTATTCTGTGTACTGTAAATTCAGAAATTATTGCGTGCATTTATTATTGCGATTTTATCATTTTAGAATAAAATGCGATTTTAATTTTTGCGATATTGAGAAAAATCCTGTTTAATTCATATAAAAAATTTCAAAATGCGAGTTTAAATTATTGCGATTATAACCCTGTCGCATTTTTCGCAATAATAAAAACATCGCAATAATTTCTGAATTTACAGTATTATCTTGAATTGCTGAAAATGAGTTCTGTCGTTCGTGTTGAAACTCATGTATGATTTGGAAATTGGGGGTTAAATTTGTGATCAAGAAAGGGGTACTGATAAGTGAGATCTAGCAACTGAAAGGAAAATCAATACCACAGAAAAAATGGTATTTCAGAAATTGCATTGAACTCATCTACAGATAAACTTGAAGATCGACATTAAGGTGGTACATAACACTACAGGGAGACAACTCTGTAAAAATCAGCTGAACGTTTTAATCACGTTCTATTGTTAAGGAAATATTAAACTTCTCAATGATCAAAATTAGTGTTTGTCAAACTGCTACATATCTAATGAAATTCTTTCTGATTTAGTGTGTGGTTCAAGTTTTTTGAAATTTTTATATTTTTGTCAAACGTTCAAAGTAAATATTTTGTCTAAATTTTATGAAAATTATACGAGCCAATTTAATTTTAGTCAACTTGTGTTTAAATGTTTTCTTGAATATTGTCTATTGCATCTCAAATATTCCAGAGATGACAGTTTCTACTGTGTTCTTTTTCTTCATTCTACTGTCTTATCAGAAACTGTCATAAAACATGAAATAAGTCCAGAAAAAAGTTCCAGATAAGAAAAAATTCTTTTATTTTCTGTTGTACCTATGAAGATCAACACATAAGCAAGATTTTGGTAATGCATTTTAAGCAGTGACAAAGGTCCATGTTCTCGAACCTTAATGTTCTTTTCATTCAAAACCCTCTAAACCAAAAACATTTAGAAGACAAGGTCACACGGAATGCTTTGTTATATCAGAACTTAAAAGGGTCTTAAAACAGAGCAGCCACACAAACTGTTTAAGGTAATCTTTGCCTGGGGGAGTTGTAACAAGAGCTGTCAGACTGTTATATAACTTTTATAGTGAGAATTTATATAGAATGCATCCAATAAATCATTCCAAGTGTGACAGCACAGGTTTCTTGACAAACAGCACACTCATATATATAAGATATAATTGTGTTATCAATTACTGTAAATTCAGAAATTATTGCCTGCATTTATTTTTTGCAATTTTGAAGAATGGACAAAAATGCGAGATTTATTATTGCGATTTAAAGAAAATCTGCATACAGATATATGTATAAGATATAAGAATGTGAATTCTTATTATTGCGATAATCACCAAGTTGCATTATTCGCATGAATAAAAACCTTGCAATAATTTCTGAATTTACAGTAGTCTTTTCAGGTAATACCTAGTTGTTTCATATATCTTACAAATGGATAAAATATAATGATATACTACTGTATGATTTTATTTTCCTAAAATTCAGCTTTAGTCTAAAAAAGCATACTGTGGATTCTTTTTGTTTTCGTGGTTACCAATAAACGTATCTACACATTTGGTATTTAGCTGAATTTTGTCTCCGAATTACCTTAGATCGGTCTCTGAATAACCTTCCTCTCGATCGTCACTCAAAATTGATAAATTATTAGATTATGAAAAATATTACCCAATATAGGAAATAGCAGAAACCCACATTTCTTTAGAATTAAAAATATATAGTGATGCCTCATACTTTGCTCATTGCATTTTTTCACAACAAAAACCTGCAGGCCACAAAATGTTTTTCGATTTGGGACTATTCCAAAAGCAGGTTACTTCTTTATAGTTCATTAAGTTCACGTAGACACTAAGTTTAGATAAGAAACATACCATCAACCATGCTCATAAAAGTTGTAATTACTAGAATTCTTACACAACCCAATCAATAAATTATCTCCCTTGGTTGCACAACTTCAACAATTACCACTCCCTAGAGTTCACAGCAGGGTCAAGATTGGGTATAGAAAATATTAAATATGATAATCTAGCATACAAATAGACAGCAAATTATAGAATTTTATGTCTCCCAGGGGAGATAATAACAAAAGTATTCATTAAACCTTCATCTGAACATGATGCAGATGATATTTGGACCATCTCAAAGGTTAATTTGTGTATTGATTTACAGGCGGGTAGATTATGTAATGTCTGAAGTATAACGCTTTCCCATTATTTGTAGACACTTTAGTAATTCATTGATATATATGTTGTTGTCTCGAATTGAATGAAATATTCTGCCTATATAAGTGTCTAATTCATTGATATATATATTGTTGTCTCAAATTGAATGAAATATTCTGCCTATATTGAGATCCAGAACTTTCCTAGGGTTTTCAAATTTATGGCTGATGTTTAAGTGTTTAAAACTTTAATACCGGTACTTTGCAACAAAGTTCTGGAAAGGATATAATAATTCCAAGATCTGTCTGTCCACCTGTCTAACAACTCGTGGAGGTCTTAGTTTTTTTATCTTCATCAGTATTTGTCAATTGGGCTTTGGTAATGCAATAAACTTAATTAATTTCAGTTAGAGGTCATGGTCTCAAAATGAAATTTCTTTGTTGCATTGTATTTCTATGTATCCTTGGTTACCTGTCAACACAATGAAGGTTACTGTACACTTCAAATGTGTATATAATTTCTCAATTGCTTATAATATGCATGCGTAACTATTTGTAACCTGCTTTATATTTCATTTATTCCTTTATAGTTATATGCTCTGAGTATTTATATGTGAAATTATTGTTTTCATTTTAATTATTAGGGCCCCGTCGAATGGCGGACGCCCTATAGTGATCAGTCTGTCCGTCCGTCTGTCTGTCCGTCCCTCCGTCCATAACAAATTGTGTCTGCCTTATATCTAGAGAACCGTTATGATTTCAAAGTTTATACTTGATATATGTATATTAACCAACACCAGAGGGAGTGTCATAATTTATGTACAACTTCCTAGGTCAAAGGTCAAGGTCAAAAACTTTGGTTTCAGTTGACAACCCCATGTCCTATGGTAAAGATCGTGTCTGCTCTATATCTTGAGAACCGTTATGATTTCAAAGTTTATACTTGATATGTATATAAACTAACACCAGAGGGTGTGTCATAATTTATGTACAACTTCCTAGGTCAAAGGTCATGGTCAAAAACTTTGATTTCAGTTGACAACCCCATGTCCAGTGATAAAGATACAAATTTTTTACCACACATTATTCACAGCGGGGCCCACAGAGATGGCTCCCATCTCAATGATATCTAGTTTCTCTCCTGCGACAAAAATCAGCTACTTATTATTATTATTATTAGTATTAGGATTACAATATTAGGTATTTGGAATCCTTTCAAGGTCTAAATCCCTGTCAGATATGGTTCACCTGATCTGAACTCATTTGATGGATCAGTGATCAAGGTTAAGGTTATGTGGTAAGGTCTTTTTCTCAGATACTATAAGCAATAGGTCAAATATATTTTGTGTAAGGCATGATTGTATGGTGTACATGTATTATACACTGTCTATCTGGCAGGTTAATCTGATTTTGAACTCTGATTTTCATGGTTCATTTATTAGGTATTCATGGTTGGGTCAGTTTCTCAGATACTGTAAGCAATAGGTCAACTTAAAAATAATTATATTTGGTGTACGGAATGTATTGTATAGCATTTCATGTCTGTCTGGTTTTACTTACCTTGACCTCATTTATATGGATCATTGATAATGTTAAGTTTATTTGGTATAGTCTTGTAGTAAAATCTTTATCTTAAGATTTCAACACAAAAGTTCAATCATGATCTGAGTTATTTAGCAGGAGAAACGTTTCAGTGTGTGCACTCTTGTTTTTCAATTTTTTTTTCCTCAAGATATAAGAAATTGTCAATATTCCAAAGAAAATTTTGCTAATTCTTTGTATATAGTCTGAAAACAGATTTACTAAGTATTGCGCAACAGCACAGTGTATTGCACAACAGCAAGAAATCTTCAATTGAATATAAATTCAAATCATATAACCAATTTCAAGTTCTTTGACTACATTTATTCTGTGTCAGAAACCTATAATGTGTCAACTATTTAATTACAATCCAAATTTAGACTGTACTATCAAGCTTGAATATTGTGTCCATTTTATCCCCAACTGTTCAGGGTTGGACCTCTGCGGTCGTATGCAGCTGTGCTCAGCAAAACAGTTTATTCTCAATTATAAAAAATGCAAGTAAAGAAATAAATGTCCAGTAATTTGTAAATTTCATGTTGTAATTTACAGAAATAGGGCAATTTGATCTCCCTCAGGATGTTCAGAAGGTGGAAAAGTTTGATAATGAGTAGATAACGTGTATTTCACTTCAAAAACAGTAAAATCTACTTTACTCTTGGGCTTAACAATGAACTTGTTCTGTTTTCTGTTTTATCAAAAGGTTAAGCCAATTTTACAGTAGCAGGCTAAATATACAAGTTGATAGGTTTAATGCCATGATATAATTTTTTTCACTTTACATCTGTTGAAATGGAGAATGAACAATGAAAATATCTCTAAAGTGTTGTTGAGAACTAAATTTGTAATCTAATATTTGATTAACAATTCATGTGTTTTGTGGTTAGTGATAAATGGAATATCATAAACATGATAAATGCTCAAAGGTTTGTAAAAAAATTATTTCTGAGAGTTAAATTTTTATTGTGATACTGGCATCTGTGTTGGTGTTGTGAATAGAAAATTGTTAGTCCTGCCCCTGCATTGAATGTTTTAAAATATTTCTCATCATGGTGAGACATTGAAATTTTCCTATTTTAGAAGGCTTGGATCGACAAGAATTTTAAATATTAAAAAGTTATTTATTTAGAATGAGGAAATATGATATTGCATATAAGGCACATTGGAGGAATGTGTTTTATAATCTAATACATTTTACATGATATGTAGGCAAACTTTATTGTTCTATTTCAATGATCTGCTTAAGGATTGTGGTAATTTGGTGACTCATCTGGTATGATCCCCATTTTCACGTCATGGCAGGAAAAATGGACAAAATCAGAAAATTTGACATCTTTGATTAAAGTTTAACTAAGGAAGAACAGAGAGTACATGAGGGTAGGAATGCCCTTTACCGTCAGGTGTCAAACAGTCATTTTCGGCTACCGTTATCGTCAAATTGGTTAAAATTTTACCGTGATTCGTCAGAGGGCTCAAATAATTACCGTTACCGTTATTTTTGGAAAAAATGTAACATGATTTGTCAAAATCAGTCGATTTTTTATCGTCTTAAAGAAAGTGTACATTTTATCGTCATGCACCAAAAATTACTGTTAACGTCATTTGGCAAGATTTTTTACTGTTATTCGTCATAAAGGTATCCCCATTATGAGCCTCTTACATTAACCACGCATCACTTATTTAAAATAATTCTATCATGCCATGCTCTATGCTCATTTTATCTGCCTCATCACACATACTCTAATTTTCAGTGATATTCCAAATTACCTCCCTTGTCCTGGTCGACCTGGTGGTACCTATTGTATTTATTAATAACGCTTGAAATATTTGTCACTGAAACATTAAGCAAACAACAATCATTCTACAGTGTTAATTTAGCCTGTGCGCTTTTTTTATGCCCCACTTAGGGGCATTATGTTTTTCGGTCTGTGCGTCCGTTCGTCCGTCCTTCCGTCTGTTCGTCCGTCCGTCTGTTCATCCATCCCTTGTCCCACTTCAGGTTGAAGTTATTGGTCAAGGTAGTTTTTGATGAAGTTGAAGTCCAATCAACTTGAAACTTAGTACACATGTTCCCTATGATATGATCTTTCTAATTTTAATGCAAAATTAGAGTTTCACGGTCCACTGAACATAGAAAATTATAGTGAGAATGGGGCATCAGTATACTATGGACACATTCTTATTTTGGATCTAAATAATCATATATGACATGTATGTTAGGCTTTAAAAGATTGAATGACATATGCATGTTCAAGTTATTAGTCATGTGACATGATTAAATCTTAGTATTTTCCATGATTAAATCTTAATATTTGTGTATATAGGAATGCTATATGATATTAAGGTTTAAAACAGTCTGTTTTATTTTGTAGCATGTCTGGGCTTGCAATATGTGTAAGAAAAAGCAAGAAATTTTGGCAAAGACAGGTCAGTGGTATCACGGTGAAATGGCAAAACCAGTGCAATTTGATGTTGAAACTCCGTCTGGCAGTGAAACAGTCTCAATCAAAACTGACGTTAGCCCGCCTAACGAAAAACGAGCAAAAATGCATGAAAAATACTCTGATAGTGGACAAAGTTCAGAAAAGGAAAACATTGATAAGCGACCTATTTCTCGGACAGGAAGTCAGCATAGGGAAAAGTTTAACCGCCAGTATTCATTAGATGCTCAACAAAAAAGTCATAGTGAATCAAAAGAGAGACTAAGTGATAGAACCAATGCAGGAATGGATAAGGATAAGTTACGAGAAAGAGGTCAAATTCCAGAACGTCAAGGACGTGGTCGTGATCGTTCACCAGCTGCTCCTAGACATCATAGTGAATCCAGATTATCCGAGACTGATAGGAGATATATGCAAGAAAGTAGGCATAATGATCGTTACGGGTCGTCTCAAAGTAGATCTCGTGAAGCATCAACAGGTCGAGGGTCAACTGATGAATTGAAACATTTCGACAAGAAGGATAGTCATAGATCTGGAGATGAAAGGGATGGTCGACGGGACATGTCACATGACAAATCTCGTCTCAGGTATGTCTGTTCACCTATTGCAAAGTAAAAATGGTTAAGAATACATTTTTAACCATAAAGAAAAAGAAGTTAGAATGGGAAATCCATTTTTTTTATGCCCCCGCTGTAGGCAACGCAGGCATTAAGTGTTACCCTTGACAGTCTGTCCTTCCATTTCCGCACTCTAACTTAAGTTTGTCGCACCCAAATTATATGAAACTGGTACACAATGCTAAGAACCACAACATGCAGACAGAGTGGTTATGAGTCTTTCCTCGTTTTAGAGTTACGCTCCTTTTTAACTTGGAAAATTGCAAAGCTTAAGTAGGGGTATTCTTGTCCTCATACACATTCTACTTTTATTTCAATCTTTTTATAGAAATAGTGTTTGCTCTTTTATAAACACAAGATGTGGTTTGGTCATCTCAGTTGAAATCATTTATTTTAGCTATACACTGGTAGGACAGGTTAAAGCTATTTATGTGATTTGTTATTATTATACCCCCGCTTTGAAAAAGTGGGGATAAACTGTTTTACCTCTGTCTGTCCGTCAGTCCGTCAGTCTGTCCCATGAATATTTTTCGTTGCATCTTTCTCAGGAACTACATTACAAGGATTCCTGAAATTTGATTTCAGGGTTTATATGAGTCAGCTATACTGTGTGATGCGTTTTCAGATTCATCACTCAACAACTTCCTGTTTACCTTATACTTTCAGCGGGGCGGGGGTATCATTAGTGAGCAGTAGCTCACAGATTCACTTGTTTTGTCTAGCATTCAAGGCTATATGTATTGTAACTTGAAAAAGAAATTACATAAAAAGAAAATATAATTATTTTTATGTTTCCGTTTAGAAGTTCTACAAAATATATTATTTATACATGTTATATAGTCGGACACCAGTTTAAACCAAAGTTGTCCTGAATCTTGACCTACCTTTAAACTTAAGGACAATGCTAAATTTACCAGTCTTACAAATATTAGACATGCCACATGGACACCTTGAACTAAGTCCAAACTTCCCCTTCTGGGCCTCTTCATTGGAATAAATTAAATAATCTATATGTTCCCTTTTTGGATTTGAATTTTTATACGACTGCAAAAAAATTGCGTTCCTATATTGCTATCATGTCATCGCTCGAAGACATTTAGTTTCCGGACAATAACTTTAGTATAAGTGAATGGATCTCTATGAAATTTAAGCACAAGGTTCAATAGCACAAAAGGAAGGTTGGGATAGATTTTGGGGGTTATGGTCCCAACGGTTTAGGAATTAGCGGTCAAAAAGGGGCAAAAAAAAGCATTTTTTTAGTTTCCGGACAATAACTTGTGTATATAAGTGTATGGATCTCTATGAAATTGTACCACAAGGTTCCATACCACAAAGGGAAGGTTGGGATTGACTTTGGGGGTTATGGCCCAAACCGTTCAGGAAATAGGGGCAAAAAATGGGGAAAACAAGGTTTTTCTGGTTAATGGACAATTATTTAAGTATTTAGTCTGGATTTCTATGAAATTGAAACACAAAGTTCCATACCTCAAAGGGAAGGTTTGGTTTGATATTAGGGGCTATGGCTCAAACTGTTCAGGAATAAGGGGCAAACAGGGGGGTGGGGGAACAATGTTTTTTTCTGGTTTCTGGACAAATATTTAAGTATTAGTTAATGGATCTCTATGAAATTGTACCACAAGGTTCCATACCACACACAAAAGGTTGGGGTCAATTTTGTGAGTTGTGGCTTTTATATGCTGAATCTAACCATGGAATTAGATTTTGGATATATATTGGACTATTAAGTAGATTAAATGTCCCATTTCAAATTTTTAAGTTATCTGACCACATTTATTCTGTGTCAGAAATCTATAATGTGTCAAATATTTAATCACTATCCAAATTCAGAGCTGTATCAAGCTTGAATATTGTGTCCATATATACTTGCCCCATCTGTTCAGAGTTTGACCTCTGCGGTCGTATCCAGCTGCTCCAGGCGGAGCCCATTTTTTATTGGTTCTACATTCAAAGCTGGAGACTTTACCTTTCTTCCAAAAACCATAGACATGGAAACATTTGACCTAAATCCAATCTTGCCCTTCTGAGCTTCTCTTCATTGGAATGAACTATTTGTCAATCAGTAGTTGAGACCCCACCCCAGGGATTTGAATTGTTTTTAGGGTCTACATTCAACGCTGTGGACAATAATAACCCTACTTACTAAAAACCTAGCCTTGGGAAACATTTTACCTAAATCCAAATTTGCCTTTAAATTTATACATCGGAATGAATTACATCTTCTGTGACTGAGAAGTTGAGACCCAACCCAAGGAATTTAAATTGTTTTTAGAGTTTACCTTTAAAGCTTAAGACTAGATTTTACCCTTTTTACCAAAAACCTAGATGTGGAAACATATGACCTAAATCCAAATACTCGACCTTGGAATGAATAACTTAAAGAGGCTTAATATTGATTATTCAGAATCTTTTTTGTAGTTGCTATATGAACTTGTTTAAATTTGAATGAATCAATGGTAGATTTATAAATTTTTCAGTATATCTGACACATAAACCTACTCCTACACTTTATTGTGTAAATATTAATGATTTTATTTTGTTTGTATTATTATTACAATGTAGACAGGTAGTAGTACACAATAATTAAAAAGCATCAGATGCAGATCCAGGATTTTGAAAAAAAAAGGGGGAGCGAGGGGGGAACTAGACAACGTTAGGAGTAGAACCTTATATAATAGAGGCCACTTCAAACTTTGTTGTAGGGATTTGATTAGCCCAGACATCCAGTACCCCACTCTTTTCATATATATTTTGAATAACAAAAATGCATACCCTTATATGCTTATGCTATTTAATGGAGAGAAATATATTTGACAAATATCTGACGCACTGTAATACAACTGGTTTTAATCACATGTATGAAAAGTATTGAAATCTGTTTAGTTCCAGGCTTCAGATACTAAAATTAATTTGATTTAATCAGCAACCTTATCATATTATATAGTTCGTCTTATTTTTTTTCGACCTTTAACGTACATTATCAAGCTTGACATAGTGACCTATACCATTTGCTCATTCCTACATGTATCAGTCATTACATAGTTAGTGCTATGATTTCACTTATTTTTTCACCATCAATTAATTAGTGAAAATATTTGATGTCACAAAGAAGAAGCTAATTTGTTTTGCAAATGTCATTAGGTCAATTAGGAAAAAAAAAAGTAGGTCAATCCTATCAGAGTTTGGAACTCAAAATTGTTTTATTATGATATAGATTCCACTACTGCATCAAGTGTATTATGATACTAAAGACTTTTTAAATATTTAAAATTTAACTGTTGAGTGTGGTGAAATATACGAGATAAAGTGGTGGAATCTGTTTCTCTGATGATTTTCTAGCCCACTTCATGACAATTTAATTTCACGATTTTCAAATTCACTTGATGAAGTTAGATAAGGAAAGATCCAAGTTTTAAATTTTAACGACAATTTATATTCGTGTCATTTTTCTACTCACGAAAGTCGCGAAAATAAATTGCTCGCGAAAATTAGTTGGTTTACAGTAATAATGAATTCACAGCAGTAACATTGAACAGTTTGGTTGTTCATCTCAAATTCAGATCTCCAACATCTTACATGTCTTAAGAGAGGATTTGTTTTAACATACTTTTTAATATTTTCTTGCAACTTTTCAAATATATGTTCTAATTATACCCCACGGAAACAAAGTTCCGTAAGGTACAATGTTTTTGACCTGTCTGTCTGTCTGTCCGTCTGTAGATCTGTCAGTCTGTCCTCTTCTTGTCATCGCAACTCCTCTCAAACCATACAACAGAACTTTGTAGGCAACAAGGACATACTATGTAATGTGCATATCAACAGGAAATTATGATTCAATTTATTTTCTAGGAGTTATGCCCCTTTGAACTTAGAATTTTGGACTAAATACACTACTGCAACAGTTTGTCATCGCAACTCCTCTGAATCCACACTAAAGAATTTCATGAAACTTTGTAGATGATAAGAACATACTATGTAGATGTGCATATCGATAGAAAATATTCAAAATTACGGTTCAGTTTTGTTCTAGAAGTTATGTTAGTAATGGCTGACAAATAGCTACTAGGACTGTATTCAAATTTTACATGCAAAATTTAAAAATCTAATACTGGTAGCTAGCTAGTTTTATGTGTAAACACCTATCAGATATTTTAAATGTTTCTTAATTTTGTTTCCTTTGACATGTTTGACTCTATGGAATAAAAATTGGTTGTGAGGAAATTATACCAGTAAAAAACATGAAGTCACCGTCGCTCCTGTAAAAGTTCTACACATTCCCTAAAGTCAATAATTGAAAAATACTTGACTTTCAATTAATTCATAGATTTTTTTTATCATGTTGGTAGTTAATGAAAATACATAAACAATAGAATATTTTCTTACTGATCTTTAAAAAAAAAATTTAATGAAAATCAAAAAAAGAATATTGTCATACAGCATGTATAGATGAAGTTGCAGACGCCATTAAATAATGACATTAATTAATAAGAAAGTTATTTCTAACACAATCAAACTGTTATAATAATTATATTTATACTAAATCTTTTCAGAGGTAACAATGAGGATAATATGTCTGGTAGATCTTCTAGAGAGGGTCGTCCAAGCAGAGATGACCATTATAAACATACCACAAATTCTTACCAAGAGTCAAACCAAGACTATGCACAAAACAAATGGGGAGAATCTCAAAATAAACAACACATGCCTTCACACCATAGGGACAATGTCCAAACAGGAAAAAGTGAAAGACACCCTAGTGGTCGACATCCACGGGATCGGCTACCAAGTGGTGGAAAAGATAGACGATCCCCAACTCCGAGTGATCGTAGAAAAGACGATATTTATGATCAACGTGTGTCTTCTTCTTCACAAAGTCTTTCCAAACACCACAATATACGTATTGAGAGAACTAGTGACTCCCCATCATTATTGGAAAACAATAATGAAAATGTACGTTACAGTTACGACAAACAACACTTAGATCCAAGTACTGCTGCAACTGGCAGAAACTCACAAAACAAACGTAGTCGCAAACTGGAAACTATGTTAAGGAATGATTCATTAAGTTCAGATCCCTCAGACACGTCACGACCACCACCACCGAAACCTCATAAAAATAAACGAGGTAAAAAGACTCGTCAACATTCCCTTAGTAGTTCCGATGATGAGATACGATCAACTCCAGAATGTTCGAGTGGCGAGGAACAAGAAAGTGAAAGTATAATAAGTGAAAAAGGTATTGATAATTCTAATGTTATGTTACCTCTCCTTAATAAAATTCTCTAACTGCATAAAAAGATTTTAATATTCATGAGTTAATTAGAAATCTTTCGTTGTCTTTAAAGGTCAATTATTGGAAGTTAAGTTGCCACTTTAATCAACAATGCTTTTGGAAAATAAACCAGTTTGGAGTATTGGACCAGCCAGGGTTACTTTTTTGCCACTTAAGGTGGTACCTAACACTACAGGGAGATAACTCTGTAAAAATCAGCTAAACATTTTAATCACGTTGTATTGTTAAGGAAATATTAAGCTTCTCAATGATCAAAATTAGTGTTTGTCAAACTGCTATATAACCAATGAAATTTTTCTGATAAAGTGGTTGGTTCAAATTTTTTGAAATTTTTATATTTTTGTTAAAGGTATCAAAGTAAACATTTTGTCAAAATTTTATGAACATTAAACGAGCCAAATTAATATTAGTCAAGGTGTTGGGTACCACCTTAAAATTCATATCATCATGATCATGTTTCAATGAATGCTAAAGATATACCAGGATAAACGTCTCAATAATTTTAACTTACATTTAAATTTTGCTAATGTTATTTTGCAGCAATATTCAGGAATAACATTAATTTATCACAATATTATATTGAACATTCAGTAAAAAAAAAAAAACTTTTATGTGGTACATTGTATATATATATATATATATAAGAAATTTGAAAATTCAGAAGACCCTACCAACCTAATTGTTTCCTGTTTATTCAATAGCAGAAACACAGATATTTTTATAACTTGGCCTTAATTAGGTTTCAGAATCACCTGTCTTTCCTCAAATGATGACCATTCAACAGTGATTCTTTACTTTTTATACATGTTATATGATTAAATGAATAATATATATTAGGAGAGTATGATATGGGTGATGAACGATGGAGAAAAGACGAAATTCTTGCTGCTAAAATCAAAAAGTTTCTGTCGGTGAGTCAGACAGCATGTGTTACTATGGTAACCACAGACCTTTGAAGTTTAACCTTCTACTTAGGATTAATCTACCAAGCTGTTTGGTCTTAACTTTAATAGTATTAAGAAAATTTAGTTTTCAAAGAATATTTGCAATTAAATGTACATGTGTCCCATTTTTAAATTACAGTCATCATTGCGACTGTCTTGAGAAAAGTTTTGACCAAAAAAATTGCCACTAAAACTTTTGGCATGACAATTTCAATTATAAAGTTTGCGACAAATAGTTATTATTTTGGGTCATTATGATATTGTAAAAAAATAGACATGATAGCAGAAAAAATGTATTGGTAACCATGGTAACCATGGAACATAAATGGAACATGCGCCTTCTAAAATTGAAATAATGATTAGTGTTTTTTTTTTACAGTAAGTGTTTTGCCATAGATCCCCAAACTTTGAATGATTATAAGTCATAAGGTGGTACATAACACTACAGGGAGATAACTGTAAAAATCAGCTGAACGTTTTAATCACTTTCTATTGTTAAGGCAATATTAAGCTTCTCAATGATCAAAATTACAGTGTTTGTCAAACTGCTATATATCCAATGAAATTTTTCCGATAAAGTGTGTGGTTCAAGTTTTTAGAAATTTTTATTATATTTGATCAGGGTAAATATTTTGTCAAAATTTTATGAACATTAAACGAGCCAAATTAATTTTAATCAAGGTGTTTATACCACCATAAGGAAAAAATATTACAGTTTTGACTTGTCATTCATCTGGAACTGTGAATATGATACCAGAATATGAAACAAAAAATCAGTTTTGCTTTCACACTAAATTATAGTTTCATCAGCATGTCTTTAGTTTGTCACAAACCAAACAGCGTGACAGATAAAAATCTAAAGTAAAAGGTTAAAAATCAGCTCATGCTGGGTGAATGTCAGTTTATATTAACAGTGTTTTGGTTTTGGCTTTATTGTTATAGACAATGTTTTATTTGCTTAGAATTTTTTTTTTTAATTTATTGTACATATATTAATATAATAATCATCAAATATATATATATGCATTATGTACTGAGATTATGTTGTTATCATAATATAAAAGATACGGTTTAGATCATTGTAGATTTTGATTTGAAAATATTTAATTTTTAATTTTTCACTTTTACTCCTTGATTTTAGCAAAATTAATACTGCCAACTCAGCAATTTTGTGATGTTAGAATTATTATTGCATTGACGCTTACCAATCAGGTTTTTTGTCAAACTAGTCCAGGAAATTTCCGGATGGTTTTCTGCAGAATTTATTAACTGTGGGATTGCTTAAAATATATTTGTTATGGTGGGTTGGGTTAAACTTTTTTATAAAAATTTTAGTAAATTTTTGACCAAACTGGTCTTCCATAGGAATAAAAGCCTTCAAGAGATGTGGATTAAACATCATTGAGACTGCAACTGAAAAAATAAGAATAGCTTAGAGACATCTAATGGGTAAGATACAGTCTTCATCAAAGGATAGGGACGTGGTTTGGTGAGTGACCTTGATACGTGACATCTCAGTTTAAAGGAACTGTGACCTTTAAAAATGTGACCTAGAGACCTGACAAAGGCTGACAACTCATTTAAAAGGACTCATGACCTTTAATATGTGACCTTGAGATCTGACAAAGGCTGACATCTCATTTAAAAGGACCTGTGACCTTTAAAATGTGACCTTGAGATCTGACAAAGGCTGACATCTCATTTTAAAGGACCGGTGACCTTGGGATCTGACAAAGGCTGACATCTCATTTAAAAGGACATGTGACCTTGGGATCTGACAAAGGCTGACATCTCATTTAAAAGGACCTGTGACCTTTAAAAATGTTCAAAACAGAGAATGGTATAATAAGATGAAATAACAATCCCAGTTAAATTTGATTAAAAGTGACCTGAGGTAATTTTATAAACCTGACTTTGTGACATAAGGAGGTACCTTACTGTGGCCTCTCATTTGTTTAGAAATCAGAAGAAAACACCAATTTTTCATGGGATGTCAACCTTTTGGGACTTTGTTCACAGGATTTGATTTGGAAAAGAGTCTGATTAATAAGAATTCATTCTTTTGAGAGATGTAAGAGCAGAATTACTGTACCTTTGACCTTTGGTTATTTTGCTTTTCTTTCCAAATTCTTTTATGAACTTTTGATCAAATCAACAGTACAACATGCATAATGATGGTGATATATGTTATGGTAATCTGTAATTGTTTTATTTTGCTTCAGACTTAAATTGTAGATTCTTATCAAAGGTTTGAATTATGACTTTTTTTTTCAAAATTTTTCAGATATTTTTTTAAGCTAATATTATGATTAATCATTACTGTTATTCTTCAATTTTTCATTTTTCAAGAACTTGTTATGATAATTTAATAAACATATCAAAATTCTTGGACTTTTGTTTGTTTTGTTTTTTTTATTAAGCAGGACTCACAGTTATATGCAGTGGTTATATGCACAGTTTTCCTTTTTATTTTACTTATGTGCAACATTTACATCTTGTAAGCACATCTGTTCTGGTTCCAATTTCACAATTTAGAAAAAAAAAGAAAAAAAAGAGGCAAAAGTATGGAAAGAGAAATTTTTCGCAACTAGATGAGAATCTACAAATAAAGTTGATGAAGTCACACCTGTTTATTTTTCTTTATTTTGATTATTTTAAGTTTCGTTTCCAGGGTTTCAGCCAAAGCATGTGTACATATCTTCAATGTATTCCTCAAGTCTTTACAAAGCTGATTTCTCCAGCGAGCCTTTAAAGGATTCGGGTATAGACACGGGACACTCGAGTAGTTCACAAACTCTTAATGAAGACAGTTCAAAGGTACATTGATATTGTATCTTTGTCTTAAAAAAAAAGTACAATGTATACCAGGAAATTTCAAAAGAATATGGAAAAAAATTGTCCTTTTTTTTTTATAGGAATATGCAGTTTTACGTTGCCCCTTGTGTTTGTATGTTGAAACAGATGTGTGTAGTAACCAAATTGCTAGCTGTCATTGAAAAAAGGAATTTCAGTGATTTTATGAAAATTGAAAAAAAATCAACTTTTAAAAATATATTTAAAAATTCAAGTTTGAAGCAAATATTGAAGAAATAGATGAAGTTTTTCTGTAACAAGTCACAAATTTCCTTGTATACAAATTTAAATCTTTTTCATGTCTTTATCATGTTTTAGCTTATCACCTTTTTTGTGTGATAGAATGCAGTTCAATCACGCAGTTGATTATTTTGTATGTGAGAGAATGCAGTTCAATCACACAGTTGATTATTTTTGTATGTGAGAGAATGCCGTTCAAGCACATAGTTATTAATTGATTATTTTTAACATGATTGAATGCAATTCAAGCACATAGTGGATTATTTCCCTTGAATTCTACTTCTTTTATGTGCTTTCTCCCTTTACACTTTGAAATTAAAAATGCAATGTCATGAATGTCCCCCCTACAAGAAATCAGCTTTGTACTGAGATGTCTGATAAATGTTGTTAATTTATTATACATGTTTTTAATTGTATGAAATCTATATGTACAGTTTTCTGAAACAACTGATAGATTCGATTTTATATCTTTCCAATAATGTTTAAACTTTCAGGGAAGTAGGCTATATATATTAGCTGCAGAGCTATTACATGTATTAGGTCCTTATGATATTTTTATTGCCCCCGCCATAGGCGACGGGGGCATTAAGTGTTACCCTTGACCGTCTGTCTTTCCATCTTTCTGTCTGTCAGTCCATCCCATTTTTGTTGCAAAGCTTCAGCAGTGGGCATTCATGTTCTCAGACACCAGGACACATTCTTCTTTTATTTACAATATTCGGACTCACAAATCAGAAAACATAATAAGGACCAATAAAGTTACAGTTCTGCAGCTAGCTATATGTAATAATATATGTAAGAACAAATGAACATGATGAATGTACACGATTCTTTCCGTTCTGAGTTTACTTGTAATGTAGGAGGTAACTATTTTGTACTATTGTAATCAGATGTGTTTATATTTGAGAAGTTAACATGCAGACTTACAATTAAAAAAAAATGGTATGAGTAAATTGTAGCTTTATGAATAATGTTGTCTTTGTTCTTCCATAAGCAGCCTGCTTCCCAAAGATTTGTTAAGCAGCAAAATCAAAAGAATTTCAGAAAACTGTAAAAATGTATAAAATACAATGTATATAAACAAATACAATTACTGTAAATTCAGAAATTATTGTGAGGTTTTTATTTATGGAAATAATGCAACAGAATGTATTCTGATATCTGATACATATAACTTTATGCATATTTTCCTGAAATAGCAATGATTGATCTCGCAAATTAAGACCATTCTTCAAAATTCGCAATAATAAATGCACTTAATAATTTCTGAATTTGCAGTATACTTTTTTCTGGTTGATGTTGATCATGAAAATAATGTTAATCATTAATTATAATTACATTCTAACAGAAAGATTCCTCTTGTTGTTTTTATAACTTTGCTATTGTCCATGTTGTCTGAATTGTTTATGTTGTAAATTTTGATTTATTTCCTTTTTATTGTTTTTAAGTTGATCTATGTGTATAATCATTTTGCTTAAAACTTACTTTGTATAGAAGATGATCATAATATTATAAAAATGTATGAATTCATAAGATATTCAAGTAATATTTTTGAGATGCAAGACTATATACTTCTTTTAATTGTGCTTTTTATATGACCGCAAAAAAATTTTGTGGTCGTATATTGGTATGACGTTGGCGTCGTCGTCGTCGTCGTCGTCGTCGTCCGGCGTCGTCGTCCGAAGACACATTGGTTTTCGCACTCTAACTTTAGTTTAAGTGAATGGATCTTTTTGAAATTTGACCATAAGGTTAAATACCACAAAAGGAAGGTTGGGATTGATTTTTGGGGTTAAGGTACCAACAGTTAAGGAATTAGGGGCCAAAAAGGGGCCAAAAATAAGCATTTTCTAGTTTCCAGACAATAACTGGAACGGTGTATGGATCTCTCTGAAATTATACTACAAGTTTCCATACCACAAAGGGATGGTTAGGATTTGCTTTGGGGGGTTATGGCTCAAACCGTTTAGGAATTAGGGGCAAAAAAGGGGGAAAAACAAGGTTGTCCTGGTTAATGGACAAATACTTTAGTACAAAACATAATTTAAAGCAGTGTAAGGGAGATAAATCAAATACATCATTGAAATTATCTCCCTTACACTTCTTTTAAATTATGTATAAAGTAATGGTTAATGAACAATAAAGATAATTTAAAACAGTGTAAGGGAGGTAATCCAAATACAACGTTTTGGTTACTTCCCTTACACTGCTTTTAAATTATGTTTAAAGAAATGCATATTTATAAAGGAAGACCAGTAAAAATATCTGCAAATGTTGCATCTTTTTTTTTTACCAAAAAATCCATATGAATGATTTGACACTATATTTTTAATTCTATTATAAAATAGATTAAGTTAGCACTATGGTAAATTTAAATGGGTAATTATGGTTGCCAACTCCATTGGAAATTTGAATTGAGATTATGACCATATCTTGAGGGAAAGAATTTTTTTAAGGGAAAAAAAGGGGGGGGGGGATAAAAAGAAATTGTGGGGGGCAATTTTTTCTCATTTCAGATTTCAGAAATTAAAAAGAATTATTCCTCAAATATTATTTTTTTTTCAAATTTCAAATATTGAAAAATTTCAAGAAGTAATCTTTAATTGCACAGTATGGCGCATTAGATTTGTAAAATCTTTGATCACATTTATTTATTTGTTATGCCGAATCTAACAGTGTATTTAGATTTTTAATTTTGGGTCCAGTTTTCAAATTGGTCTACATTAAGGTCCAAAGGGTCCAAAATTAAACTTTGTTTGATTTTAGCAAAAATTGAATATATGAGGTTCTTTGATATGCTGAATCTAAACATGTATTTAGATTTTTGATTTTTGGCCCAGTTTTCAAGTTGGTCCAAATTGGGGTCCAAAATTAAACTTTGTTTGATTTCAACAAAAATTGAATATATGGGGTTCTTTGATATGCTGAATCTAACCATGTATTTAGATTTTTTATTTGTGAACCCCATTATCAAATTGGTTCATATTGAGGTCAAAAGGGTCCAAAATTAAACTTTGTTTGATTTCATCTAAAATTGAATTATTGGGGTTCTTTGATATTCCAAATCTAACCGTGTATTTAGATTTTTAATTTTGGGTCCTGTTTTTTAAATTGGTCTACATTAAGGTCCAAAGGGTCCAAAATTAAATTAAGTTTGATTTTAACAAAAATTGAATTCTTGGGGTTCTTTGATATGCTGAATCTAAACATGTGTTTAGATTTTTGATTATGGGCCCAGTTTTCAAGTTGGTCCAAGATAGGGTCCAGTATTTAAACTTTGTTTGATTTCAACAAAAATTGAATATATGGGGTTCTTTGATATGCTGAATCTAAACATGTATTTAGATTTATGATTATGGGCCCAGTTTTAAAGTTGGTCCAAATTGGGGTCCAAAATTAAACTTTGTTTGATTTCAACAAAAATTGAAAATATGAGGTTCTTTGATATGCTGAATCTAACCATGTATTTAGATTTATTATTTGTGGGCCTTGCTATCAAATTGGTTCATATTGAGGTCAAAAGGGTCCAAAATTAAACTTTGTTTGATTTCATCAAAAATTGAATTATTGGGGTTCTTTGATATGCCAAATCTAACCATGTTTTTAGATTTTTAATTTGGGTCCCGTATTTTAAATTGGTCTTCATTGAGGTCCAAAGGGTCCAAAATTAAACTTAGTTTGATTTTATCAAAAATTGAATTCTTGGGGTTCTTTGATATGCTGAATCTAAACATGTGTTTAGATTATTGATTATGGGCCCAGTTTTCAAGTTGGTCCAAGTTGGGGTCCAAAATTAAACTTTTTTTGATTTCAACAAAAATTGAATATATGGGGTTCTTTGATATGCTGCATCTAACCATGAATTTAGATTTTTGATTTTTGGGCCCGCTATCAAATTGGTTCATATTGAGGTCAAAAGGGTCCAAAATTAAACTTTGTTTGATTTCATCAATAATTGAATTATTGGGGTTCTTTGATATTCCAAATCTAACTGTGTATTTAGATTTTTAATTTTAAGTCCCGTTTTTTAAATTGGTCTACATTAAGGTCCAAAGGGTCCAAAATTAAACTTAGTTTGATTTTAGCAACAATTGAATTCTTGGGGTTCTTTGATATGCTGAATCTAAACATGTGTTTAGATTTTTGATTATGGGCCCAGTTTTCAAGTTTGTCCAAGTTGGGGTCCAAAATTAAACTTTGTTTGATTTTAACAAAAATTGAATATATGGGGTTCTTTGATATGCTGAATCTAACCATGTATTTTGATTTTGGACATTGGACCATAATAGGTAAATTAAAAAAATTCAAGTTCTTAGACCACATTCTTTCTGTGTCAGAAACCTATGCTGTGTCAAATATTTAATAACAATCCAAATTCAGAGCTGTATCAAGCTTGAATGTTGTGTCCATACTTGCCCCAACTGTTCAGGGTTCGACCTCTGCGGTCGTATCAAGCTGCGCCCCAGCGAAGCATTTTATTAGTTTTGACTTTGACTTGGAACATAATCTTATTTAAAATTTGTTCAAATACTTTAAAAAATTTGATTACTATTGTCAAAAAGAGCAAATATATTACCATTGAAACTGAAGTGTAGAATTTGTTTTGTGCAGTTATAATAATGTTAATCAGGTATTATATGGAAATTATATATTATAAGTTATATGCATGGTTTGTTATTGACCCCCTATGGATCCATAGAGGGTTAGTAAAATCCATAGGGGTGAAGCCAAAGGCCGAATCTCCTATGGATTTTGCTAACTCTCTATGGATCCGTAGGGGGTTAGTAGTGAACCATATAATGAATTTATCGCACACAGGACTTTTCCTGTTAAGTTATGTATAGATATAAGCAATGAAATAAAAAACATTAATTGATGACGTCACCATTAATAGTAAACTTGACCTCATGAACCCATATGATATCCATAGGAGTCACCATGTGACGATGTTAAAACCAGTCATAACGTCATAATTTACCAGAGGTGTGATAATCAAAAATCACCACACATGCTACAGTACGGCAGTTCAGATGCATAATAGACTTTTAATTTACTATACTATGTTCACAATGTGTTTTCAAATCATAATTCCTGAACCCAATTTAAGCAGCTTTTATTGAATTTTTTTTTTTAAATAACTTTTAAATTGAAGAAGTTGTGACACACAGTATTTATCAAACATGTAGAATCTTTTTGTACATTAAAATTTTAAAGTCTCAACCATGCTATTAATCTGTTTTCTGAAATATTTTACTGTAATACTGCAGGATGATAATTTGCTGTTAAATACTGAATATTTACAAGATATGCTGACAGAAAAAAATTTAACAAACAGCTATTTAATTAAAACAATGTTATAAAAGGTCTGGTAAGAGCTTATTTTGGCCTAAAATTTGAAGTACATCTGACGAAAGAATTTTGACATTTTTAAATACTCCAGTCGATTCAATTAGTATATGTAAAATATTTGAACTGATTTGGTCATTAAAGACACCTTAATTCAAGCTTAGATATGAAATTCTATCAAATATTTCACAAAACATCACTTTTTAGATGGTTTTTGTCTAAAATGGAAGTGGCCGCATTCATGTTCAATCCCAACCTTTATATATGTTTATGTATCATCATCAAATACATATAATTAGATATTAAGACTGAACTCAAGTGCAGCCACTTCCATTTTAGACAAAAACCGTCTAAAATTAGTACAAATGCTAAAATTGTGAAGATTTTAGTAATTTTGCATGAATTAATGATGCTAGTACCTGATGCATGTGCAGTGTTATGTAAAAAAACAGCCCTTATTTATTTTACAAAAGTATTCTTCTTTCCACTAAATAGCTAAAAGTTTACACTTTTAACAAATTTTTGAAATGCTATATTTTTGGGCAAAAAAGGGTCTTACCAGGCCTACTCCTTAATATTAAGAACAATCATTACATTTGCTAATTTTAACATGTAATCTGATGTTTGTAGCATCCTGTCACATGGCAAAAATCGGCAGATAATCGTCGATGGATAGGTCACATGATATTGAAAAAGACGGTATTGGAAGGTGGCAGACAAGATGATTCGGGGGCCATACTGGGTATGTTAGATAATGCAGGCAGGTTTTTATGAGTTTTATTAATACACGAGGACGTAATTCCTCATGATATAGCACACATTAAACAAAAAAGAAATATAAAATAATAAGGAGATGTGGTATGATTGTCAATTTGACATATCCACCAGAGCCCAGATGAAATAGATGTAAGCAATTATAGACAACTATATGGACTTTTACAATTAGACTAACTCATACTGTATAGTCGGCTATAAAAGACCCAGACATGAATAATGCAAAACAATTCAAACGAGAAAACCAACAGTTTAATTTATAACAAAATAATTTATGAAAAATAGATATGACAGACATGAACCAATGACAACCACTGAACTACAGGCTCCTGACTTGTTACAGGCACATCAAAATGTGGCAGGGTTAATATAAATAAGAAGATGAGGTATGAGTGCCAATGAGACAACTATCCATCCAAGTCACAATGCGTAAAAAGTAAACAATTATAGGTCAAAGTACAGCCTTCAACACAGAGCCTTGGCTCACACCGAACAGCAAGCTATGAAGGGCCCCAAAAAGACTAGTGTAAAACAATTCAAACAGGAAAACCAATGGTCTAATCTATATAAAAAACGAGAAACACTTATGAACCACACCAACAAACGACAACCACTGAAAAACAGGCTCCTGACTTAGAACACGTGCATAAAAATGTTTGTGAGCACTCTACCCTCCCCTTACCTAGGGCAGTGGTTAAACAGCACAACATAAGAACAAACTGTAAAAATCAGTAGCAATTGTCTTAGTTCAACAGTTTGGTACGAAGCACAGCATACTGTAAATTCAGAAATTATTGCATGCATTTATTATTTCGATTGTTGAAGAATGGACAAAAATGCTGAAGCTGGCCTCCGGTGCGGGATTTTCTCGCTGTGTTGAAGATCAATTGGTGGCCTTAGGGTGTTTTCTTCTCTTTGGTCGGGTTGTTGTCTCTTTGACATATTCCCCATTTCCATTCTCAATTTTATTGAGTTTCATTATTGGGATTTCAGGAAAATCTGCATACAGTTATATGTATCAGAATATCAGAATGTGAGTTCTTATTATTGTGATACTCACCAGTCACATTATTCCCATTAATAAAAACCTTGCAATAATTTCTGAGTTTACAGTATTTTTTCTTTGGTTTAAAATTTATCCATAACCTTAAAATTACAATTTAAGACACTTTATTAACTTTAACCCAATCGGCCTACAAGAGGTTATATAAACAAAAAATATGAAAATGAATGCCTTTTTCAGTGGATTTAAGGAGTTGGGATAGTTTAAAGTACAAATGTCACACAAAATACTAATAATCATTCCACCTTTAGTATATTGGGAACTATATATTATATACAGTACCGGAAGCATCTATCAGTTATGAATTCACTTTAATGTTGTAATACATTTCTTACAACATCCTAATTGTCAAATTGCTGTTTCAAAAATATTACTTAGAATGCATAAGTTTTTGAAATGGCACAATGTAGAATTTTGTTGTTGAATATGTATGGTTGAAACTGAAAATTCCATGAGGAATGAGCCTTTATACTTGTGCTTTAAGACAATTTGTTCATATTGGATAAACTGAAAATTCCAAATGTTTCATTTATTATTGAGTATCTAAAAGCTTTTACACCATGAATTAGATTATAGGTTTACTTTCAGGTTAAATGATTGTTGTTGGTATTTTACACCATGAATTACATTAGGTTTACTTTCAGGTTTAAAGATTGAGGGAAAAACAAGGGTGTCCTGGTTAATGGACAAATATTTTAGTACCAAACATTATTTAAAGCAGTGTAAGGGAGGTAATTCAAATACATCATTTGAATTACCTCCCTTACACTGCTTTTAAATTATGTATAAAGTAATGGTTAAAGAACAATTAAGACAATTTAAAAGCAGTATAAGGGAGGTAATCCAAATACAACGTTTTGATTACCTCCCTTATACTGCTTTTAAATTATGTTTAAAGAAATGCATATTTATAATGAAGACCATGTAAAAATATGGTTGGTCAATTCGCAACAGCAAAGTGTATTGCACAAAAGCAAAAAATTGAATATAAATTCAAATCTTATAACCAATTCTAAGTTCTTTGTCTACAGTTATTCTGTCAGAAACCTTTTATGTGTCAAATATTTAATTACAATCCAAATTCAGACCTGTATCAATCGCGAATATTGCGTCCATTTTTGCCCCAACTGTTCAGGGTTGGACATCTGTGGTTGTTATCCAGCTGCGCTCGGCGAAGCAATTTATTACACCATGAATTACATTATTGGTTTACTTTCAGGTTTAATAATTGTTGGTGGTTTTTTACACCATGAATTACATTATAGGTTTACTTTCAGGTTTAATAATTGTTGGTGGTTTTTACACCATGAGTGACATTATTGGTTTACTTTCAGGTTTGAAGATTGTTGGTGGTAGAAGGACAGATGCAGGACAGTTTGGTGCTTTCATTACAAAGGTCAAGAAAGGCAGCATAGCAGATACTGTAGGGCATTTACGACCAGGTAAGCATTTGGCGGAGAAGATATCTATTTTGAATGAGGACCTTGGTGGCCAAGTGGTCTAAGTAGTTCATCTACATTATCACTAGCCTGTCAACACTGAGGTTATGAGTTGGTACCCTGCTCATTGTAGGTGCATTGTAATAATAATAATAATAATAATTCTTTATTTAAAGAGGGTTACACAGTTAGCTATAAAACTAATCTTTCCTGAGGCTCTCATGAAATACATTCAAATATTACAAACAAAGAATTACAAAATAACCAAACAAACACACACATAAACAAAATCAAATAAATTATGAAATATACAATTTTCAAAACAGGTAAGAATGATGAATTCATATAGTATTGGCATCATTGAAATAAACTCTGATCACAATTGACTAGGACCTGAGGTCGGCCATTTTACCTGCCAAAGGTTGGTGGTTCTCTCCAGGCACTCTGGCTTCTTCCACCAATAAACACTGGCCACCATGATAAAGCTAAGAGTAATGAAAGTGGCATTAAACCCCAATAATCAATCAGTCTATTTTATATAGATGGACAATGGATGTATTTTGTTTTTGTGTCTTTCTGTTTGGTGACTTATTGGCATATACCTTACATCTCCCTAATTTGTAATAGAATAATTATGTAGTAGGGAAAGGGTATTGTTTTATTTAACTTTATTTAAAGGACAGTCATGACAGTGGCACATAATGAGTGATTCAAAACTTATAATTAGAAAGATGAATATGTATGCATCTACACATGACATGCATGTATGAAATTTCCTCAATCTACAACACATAATATAAAACATGGGATATGGGGTATCCATCCATGACACAAAATCAGTACATGCACAGCAAAAAAAAAACACAAAAAGCAAAGGAACAGCACTTTTATTGCTGTTCTATATCTCATAGTCACAGTGAGGCCTTCAACATGGAGCAAAAAAACAAAACAACAAAAATACTCTCACCTCACACAAGTTTAAGCTGGCCCCTAGGAACGGCTTGAGGGGAATTCCTTGCAAAATTAACTTGGATAGACTTTGTAAGATGTAACACTACCAAACACATGTTTGTGTTTAAAAAAAAGCTAAAGGACATTTATGTGTGCCAGACCTCAAATGTGCAGCTTGAAAACAATATGAGCATCCTTTTAAATGAGAGGTGAGGTAGCAAGATCACCCTTCAAACCCCAAAGGTACCAGGGATGGATTTTATTATGTTGGAGCCACACAGCAAACTGAAGTTGGTTGTAAAAGGTGGTATGTGCACGGATGAACCGGAAATAAAATGGACATACTGAAATGAATTAGAATGAATGCTTTTTACCCAATGTGGTATATTATTAGCTTCAAGCTTTCGTGGAGATATGATTTCATTGTTTTGCCAATGTCTGCATACAATTTATAATTCCTCGAACGTTTAAATTCAATGTTCATCTGTAACCATAAAATCCCACAAAATTGATATCCCGCGAATAATAATTTCTCCCCAGTAAATCAAAATCTAAATTTTTTTTGTAGGTGATGAAGTAGTAGAATGGAATGGTAGATGTTTACAAAGAGCTACTTTTGAGGAGGTCCATGACATTATCTTAGAATCTAAACAAGAACCACAAGTAGAACTTATAGTGCATAGAAGTGTCAGGTACATCATTAAAATTTTCTATATTGTATTTTATACATGATAATATTAATTTTAAAAGTTTCATATGTATCTTTTAACAACTGAAGAGGATAACAGATTTTTTTTAACATGTACCTCTATATAATATACAACATATGACTGGCATTGGATAGAAATTGACCGTATGCAAATGAATATCAATACGTTTATTAACCTATTTCGGGTTGAAAATCTCTACGGAAAGTGTTTAACTGTTTGAAAATTGAGTTGTTACAAGACCCCTACAACATGTACAGCACAGGCCAAAATTCATATTTTATTTCATATTTTAATGTTCCAAAATCAATCAAAATCTTATACATATATACATGTATATGTGCACTTGTATAAGGTCAATTTCTATCCGATGCAGCTCATATATCATATGTAAGATTGTTAAGAAAAAAAATCAGCAAACAAGAAGAATATATACAGGCCTTAAGATTCGGAGAACAATATCAATAAGAGATGTACACTAAAAGATGTAATTATGAGCTGCGTAGGATAGAAATCAACCTTTTGCAAATGAATATCAATACATCTGTTAACTTATTTTGGGTTAAAAAAAATCTCTATGGAAAGTCTGTAACTGTTTGAAAATTGAGGTGTTGTAAGAAAATCTACAAAACAGACCAAAATTCATCTTTTATTTCGTATTTGAAGGTTCCAAAATCAATTATAGTCTTATACATGTACATGTACTTATGCAAGGTCAATTTCTATCTAACGCAGCTCATATGATAAAAGTTGCACTTGAACTGTTGATTGTTAAAAGTAGCACTATCACCAACAAGATTTATATGAACAGCGTATTTAATTTGTCAGAAATGAAGGTTTCTAGGTGTTAAATCTGTAAAAAACATGTTTTGACATTAATTTGCTATTATAAAACCAATATTTATGTTATTTTAATTTTTTGTACACTGAATTTCAAAATAACTTGTCTACAGAATTAGATTTTCAATGATTAAAGTTTATCAACCATTCTAACTAAGGTTGCCTGACCACAGTGAAAAGTTTCATGATTTTGGACTAGCCTCTAAATAGAATCACATAAGCACAAAGTTTAGATTTATAAATTGTGATATAATTCACCATTTCTGTGAACGTTAACTAGAACCGAACAATGAAAGTTTTTTATTACAAATTTTCTTTTCATGTTGAACTACAGAATACACATAAGTTGATTTAATGAGTAACTGTTATATTTTATTTTAAAGAATTATTTTTCTTTTTCTTTCAGTAATGGTGAAGTACCACCAGGAGTGCATGTTGACCAAATTAAAGGTAGGTCTTCAAATGCAAATAATATGAGGTTATAATTGCAGTTAATTTTAGAAGGCTACATATAAAAATGAGATTTCCAGAAATTAAAAAACTTATGCCATATAACAAAACTCTAATAAGGTCTTATTTTACATATGGCCTCCAATGGCATAGCACTCAGTACAAGTGGTTACCATGGGAGCAATTTTTTTGACTACCATAATTGAAATTACAAAATAAAGCATTCATGAATCATGATACTACTTTTTTCAAAGATGCTATGCCAGTGCCTTTTGCTATTTTAAAGATATTTGGAATTCAAACCCTAGCAGTAAAAGGAGCAAATGCTATTGGCATTTTATTGTCTACAGTTTTATACTTCATTCAATAATATTTCAAAATATTTTTTTAATGAAAATATAGCTAGCTAACAAAGTGTGTCTTCTCATAATAATGTCATGTTTTCTTTTTTTAAGGAAACCGGTAAGAGCTTGCTTGATTATATGCATTTTCAAAAAACTACTAAAAGATTAATGTTTGTGTATTTTAGCTTCTAATTACTAACAAAACTGATATCCATGAAAACTAACATAGTAAGCTTATAGTAAATTCTACAAAATATGGCCTAGTTCTGATATAAAGAAATAGATCATTTTACCTAGCAAAATATATATGCATAACATTTGAAAATACAAGATAAAGCACTGTCTCATAAAACAGTTATTGAACCCCTATCTATTAAGGAGTTACTTCCCCTATTTCAGACTCCAATCATCAAGGTCTTCCCCTAAAATGAATGTAGGAGGTTTCAAAGTGAGGTAGAGGGGGCATTCAGTTTTACCCTTTTCCCTCTTAACTGCCGTACATCTGTACATCCCAAAATTAGTTTCTGTTCTCTAACTTTAGTTTGCCTCAACCAAATGTAATGAAACTCATACACAATGCTTATTACTACCAAACACGGATCAAGTTAGAATTTGGGTGGCATCACTTTCACTAGTCTCCAGTTATGTCCCTTTATAATTGGAAACAATGCTAAATTTACCGTTTCAGCCCTCTTTCTTTAGTTTGCCTCAACCAAATGTTTTGAAACATATATGCAATGCTTATTACTACCAAACGCAGATTAAATTCTTAAATTGGTGGCATCATTTTCACTGTTCTCCAGTTATGTCCCTTTTTAAATGGAAAAATTGCTAAATTTACCATTTCTGCACTCTTTCTTTAGTTTGCCTCTACCAAATGTTATGAAACTTATACACAGTGCTCATTACCACCAATTACAGATCAAGTTTGAATTTGGGTGGCACCACTTTCACCAGTCTCAAGTTATGTCCCTTTATAAAATGAAAATTGATGAATTTGCCATATATTTTCAAGTGGAGGCATCTGTGTCCTATGGACCTTTTTTTGAATTTTTGCAGCATGCTTAAAATTTAATTGAAGATTTCTTTAAAGACAAGCATGGTTCATTAAATTTCATTTTAAATGGTTTTTACATGTCCCTTGGAACGTTTTCTATAGGCTTGTATACAGACTTTTGCAAAACCACAAAATCAAAAATATATGAAGAAACAATTTTTCCCTAATTCATGAAAATTGGTAGCCATGATAATAAATGAATCAACATTACATTTATTGTTTGGAAGCCATATTGATTAATAAGATTATCAGATCAATATATTTTTCTACCATGATGGATTAATGATAATACATAAAGAATATCGTGACTTTTTCAATATCACATTCATATCAACAAGAAACACCAAGTGAATCCCAGAACTCTGAGGCTCCACTTGAGGGATTATATTGGTTGAGGGTTGATATAGTGCACATGTCGGATATAAAAACAGCCATATAAACAATTTATTATATACCTCAAGTGTAATTTTTAACGAGAGTCGTGACTTGATGTCAAATAGATAAGGGGTTTGATAAAGCCTTTCCAACAGTGACAGATATCGATAAAATGATGTTGAACAGAATAGAAGTTTGATAAAACCTTAGCAAACAATATCGATATGATCACGGAGTGGCTGATAGAGCACTATTGCCATTGATTATATTACACATACACTTACCTTGCATTTACTACTACTATAATAAAACTGATAATCATGTTTTAAGTCCAAATGCAAAAATTGTGTGAAATATTTATTTGTAAGAGAATGAATTCCTTAATGAAGTTTCAGTGAATAAAAATGCATAAGAGAGGCAAAGGATACAAAAGGGACATTCAAACTCATATGTCGAAAAAAAACTGACAAAGCTATGGCTAAAAAAGAAAAAGACAAACAGATGAACAACAGTACACAAAACACAACATAGAAAACTAAAGACTGAGCAACACGAACCCCACCAAAAACACGGGGTGATCTCAGATACAAGGGATAATGCTGTAATAAGATAAAATGTGTTTTTTCAGGATACAAAGAAGATTCAAATGACAGAAATAGACCAAATCTAAGAGTTATGTCCCCTGCTTCTTCAACAAGTCAGAGAAGTCATCAGTCACCAATGTCACTTGGAAAACTACAGGTATAATTGTTTCCATACATTGCTTTTCTTTATCTCAAACAAAAATTTATGTTATTAGTTGAAGAAAATAAAACTTTTATATCATATTCATTCAGGCTTGAGGACACCAGTTATCATCAGTATGCTAGATTGAGAAATTATTATTTTCAAGCAAATTAGAACTGATATGATTGGTCACTTATAGATTCTGGGTTCCAAGTTCAATTACGGTAGCTTTATATGTAATCAAAACTTATAAACTATGCCAAGCCCACAATGATCTAATCATCAACATTTTGTAATATCCTATAAGTTTAAAAATCTGATTTTGTTTTTTTTTATATCTAAGTATTATACTTTCAGTGGAATCATTTATTATTTACAGTACCAATTTTTGTGGATTGAGAAAAGTTGCAATTTTGTGTTGATTTGATTTTGTAATTTTTCCAAAGTCTGCATGAAAACCAATATAAATTTGTACTTTGTACATTTAAATTAACTCAGTCTTCAGGCTTAAATACAGGCCCAGCAGCTCAGGCTTGTAAAATTCCTTTAGGGTCTATAAAAATCATCTTTACAGGACAACAGAATCTTAACAAAATTTTTTCCAAAAATTGATATCCGGGCCTGTAGATTCAATAGTCTTTTGAGAAGACTGGTTTACCTAAACCTACGAAATCCACGAAAATTGGTATCATATATATCTATTTATAATGAATCCATGATGATTAAGTTCTTGTGACACGGTGTTGACTGCTGTACTCCTATTTTACATTTTTACCTATTATGTCTGTCTGTTTTATTCACACACCGTTGTCAATATAATGGAATTTGATGCGACTGTCATACAAGTGAGAGGTTTAGCTAGCTATAAAACCAGGTTCAATCCACCATTTTCTACAGAAGAAAATGCCTGTACCAAGTCAGGAATATGACAGTTGTTGTCCATTCTTTTGATGTGTTTGTGCTTTTGATTTTGCCATTTGATTAGGGACTTTCCGTTTTGGATTTTCCTCGGAGTTCAGTATTTTTGCGATTTAACTTTTCACACTTAATCCTGGACATTTATTTTAATTAAACCTTTACACATCGTAGAATGACTGCTTCCTTACCTAATATGGACAAAAAGCTCAATTAGTCCTTCGAGTTCTTGCGGGCTGAATGATTATTTTTTCTAAGTCATACTTCATTTTAGCTATTTGAGCACATTGTTTTCTTGAAATTAAAGACTTAAAAAATATAAATGATTGTTGAGTTACATATATTTATTTTAGCTGAAAATGTGGTATAACCATAAAAGTTTTGAACTGATAGTTACAATCATCTGTGCTGCTGGTCTTCCATTTACGGATCAAGGAAAAGTCCGTAATCCATACTGCAAGTTATATCTACTGCCAGATAGAAGGTGAGTTACTGTGCAATTGTGCAGGATATTTTTAAACTTGAATAATTATCAAGATTACTACTCTAGAAATTTAATGTACTTTATACTGTAAATTCAGAAATTATTGTGTGCATTTATTATTGAGATTTGTGAAGAATGGACCAAAATGCAAGATTATTTATTGCAATTTCTTGAAAAACTAAATACAGATACATGTATCAGGTATCCAATACAAGATCTCATGTTAGTAATACTGACCAAATGCATAATTATCGTTAATAAAAACCTTGCAATAATTTCTGAATTTACAGTATTCAGAAGTTTTTGTGATGTCTGTGTTGTTGAGAAAATTAAGAGAATAGGTTTCACAAAAAAGATAAAAACTAGATTTAAAATTTTCATAGTATTATTTGTATGCAGATTTTCCTATATTTGCAATATTTAATCTTGCTTTTATTTCTAATGTTCAACAGTGGCAATAATAAGTTACAAAAATTTCTGAATTTAAGGTATCTTTGGATTTTCGGATAAGTCGAAGCAGGAAATATATAAGTGAGTGATTAGGTCAGTTTTATGGGGAAACATGAGCAGTAGGTCAGTGATATTTGGGATGCAGCTATTTTAGCATTGGCACATCTCATTTCCATGGAGATTATTTGGCCCTGCCTCCTCAGTCATGGTCTTTTGACTGAATGTTTTGCTTAGTTTACATGTATTACTTTGTGATTAGGTCAGTTTTTAATGAACCATTAGTGATAGGTCAGTGATATTTGGTATGCAGATGTATAAGCATTGGCACATCTCATTTCCTTAGAGATGATTTAACTCCTCTCCCTCAGTCATAGTCTATAGGCTATTGGATATTTTGCATAGTATACATATTAATCTTTGTGATTAGATCAGTTTAAGATAAACCAGTAATGTTTAGTCAATGTTACTTAGTATATGCAGTTGTATAAGCATATACAAGTCTCATTTCCATGGTTCACTGACTTTAAAACTTTTGCATAGTTTAAAAGATAAAATTTGTGCACCTTTAGTCATAGCTCATAAGTTAACATGTTAAAACATTGCCATTATAATTTCAACATTTGCATTTCACAATCAATATTACAAAAAGCGAGTTTATGTTTGTTGCTTATTTGTTTTTGATTGTCCAATAAATTTACTTCAGTAGTTTCAATAAAAGTATTTCATTGGAATTGATTTATGTATATATTTTGATCTTTGTTTCTTTACAGTGAAAAAAGCAAGAGAAGAACAAAAACCATAGCAAGTACTAATGACCCAACCTGGAATCAAACATTTATGTATTATCCAATAAAAGAATCAGACTTCCGAGACCACATCCTGGAAGTTACTGTATGGGATTATAACAAACATGGTGCTAGTCAATTTATGGGGGAGGTAAGGAGAATAGCAGAATTATAATAGATAAGGTGCTAGTCAATTTATGGAGGTAAGGAGAATAGCAGAATTATAATAGATAAGGTGCTAGTCAATTTATGGAGGTAAGGAGAATACCATAATTATAATAGATAAGTTGCTAGTCATTTTATGGAGGTAAGGAGGATAGCAGAATTATAACAAATATGTTTCTTTTCAATTTATGGGGGAGGTTAGAAGAATAGTAGAATTATAACTAATTTAATTCAATTTAATTTCGAAGGAGGTAAGGAGAATAGCAGAATTATCATCTGAACAATAGACAAAAATGTTAGATAAATTATTGCAATTTCAGGACATACTGCATACAGATAATGCCATCAAAATTTAAATTGCTAAATTTTACTGTTGTGAAAACCTATCATCTAACAATTTTCTCAATAACAAAAAGTATCACAAACATTTCTGATTTACATTAAGTATTTAGCATAAATATTAATATACAAAATGTTTGATAAAAACTTTTTATTTTCAAAATTTAATGATTTATTTTCAGGTGCTTATAGACTTGAATACAGCCAATATGATTGATGATCCTTATTGGTACCATCTAAGTCACCATGACAACTCCAGTATACCACTGCCACAGTCATCTCCTAGAACAGTAAGTGTGAACAAATGTATATAGATATAAGAAGATGTGGTATGAGTGCCAATGAGACAACTCTCCATCCAAGTCAAAATTTATAAAAGTAAACCATTATAGGTCAAAGTACGGTCTTCAACACGGAGCCTTGGCTCACACCGAACAGCAAGCTATAAAGGGCCCCAAAAATTACTAGTGTAAAACCATTCAAACGGGAAAACCAACGGTCTAATCTATATAAAAACGAGAAATGAGAAACACTTATGAACCACATCAACAAACCACAACTACTGAACATCAGATTCCTGACTTGGACAGGTGTAAACAATTGCAGCTGGTTTTTACGTTTTAATGGTACCAAACCTTCACCCTTATCTAAACCAAATTTTGCACTGGAAATATAGTGGTATTCCAATGGAGCTCCAATCTCCACTGCTTTATTCAATGGAATTCTGGTGTACATTTTCAGTAGGGATGAGGAGTTGATGCATGGTACCAATGTATCAGGTTTTCGATTTGAGACATTCAAATTTTAATAGTTTAAAACTACAAGGATTTTCTCTTGTCATAAATATTGAAAAGAACTGTCAAGAGTGGTGAAAAATAATATCCAACTTGATTTAATTATTCAAATATAGCATATTTTCACTATAAAAGCAGTGAAATTTTCAAAATTTTAAAGCTACAAGGATTTTCCCATGTTGAAAATATTTGACAATGTACTGTCAATGGGAGAAATATATCCAATGAGATTCAAGGATATTATCTGTTTCTTTTATAAATTTTAGCCTAGTAAGTATGAAAAAAAGCTATATTTTTTCAGGTTGACATCATCATATATTATAACATTTAGTCACAATAGTTAAACAATAGAAATGGAATCAAAATTTTACACCATAACAGAATTTGACTACTGTGGATTCATTTATTTTCGTGGGTACCAATTTTCGTAGATTGCCGCAAACTTATACTTTTGTGGATATTTAATTTTGTGGTTTTGCCAAAGTCTGCATACAAGCCAATGGAAAATTTGTTATTTGTGGAACATTTAAATTTGTGGTTCACCTGTACCCACAAAATCCACGAAAAATGGTATCTGACGAATAATAATGAATCCACAGTACTTTTAGAGCTTATGTTTGTAGTACAAACAAACTTATAATTGTGGATTCATTTATTTATGTGGAAACTAATTTTTGTGGATTCTGGAAAACATGCATTTTCATTGATATTTGATTTCATAGTTTTGTCAAAGTCGCACAAAAGCTTCAAGAAAATTTTTAATTCTTTGAACTTTTAGATTCATGTTTAACCTTTCCTAAGGAAATCCATGAAATTTGGTATCCATGAAAATACATGAAATCCGAAGTACATTGTGTTTTAATTAATAAGCTATGATTTAAAAAAGTTTCAGCCAGGAACTTTAGAGGTGAGCATAAATTATAGCATAATTCTTGACAACAATTAACATTGTGTTTTAATCTTTGTAGAAATCAAGTCAAGATCCGTATGATTTACGTCATCGCCATTTATCTCCTCCGACCAGTTCCCGTGGCCTGAGTGACAGCGATGTTTCAGAGTTCGACATTGATGACAGCATTGGTGTAATACCAGGTTAGCATGCTTTCTTCATGTTAACTTCTAGAGTAATTTAGAAAAAAAGATTTAAAAAAATAGTCTATCTTGTAGAAGATGATTGAATATTAATAGTAATTTATTAAAAACCCCCCCTTCTGTAAACCAACTTATATTTGCGGATACTTTATTTCGCATTTAGCCCTTACTAGCCCATTTCGCGGCGATTTAATTTCGCGATTTTCAAATTTGTTTGATGTAGTTAAATAAGGAAAGATCCAAGTTTTACATGTCGCGAAGATTTATATTCGCATTATTTTTCTACTCGCGAAAGTCGCAAAAATTAGTTGGTTTACAGTATTTGGATGGAATTGCCAAAAAAATCTTAATAAAATGCAGTCATAAGTAGAAGGATGCATTGATTCTAAAATTAAACAATCATAAGATTTCCTCTTCTTAAAAAGTTTCATAGAAAAACAGAAAATTATTATAATTATCCCAAATCTGTTGATGCATATTTTAATGTTAATAATTATCCAAAATTTCACGTAGATTATTTCTTACATATATATATATGGTCATTTAAAATTGGTTTGATTAAAGGCAGATAGGCATTGTTAAACTGAGCATTTGGCTAAACATTTATTAGGGCTGCCATCTTGGATTTGTTGCCTGCCTTATCTGTTGGTACCATATATGTTTATGAGCATTTATAATTGAAGAGACAAAACTGAAATTTATAAATATATTTTCTTGGAAATTTGCATGGATGTCAAAAATTTTCATTTTCATGAATAAAAAAAATCTGTTATTTTCAAAGGGAGATAACTTTTGCACAAATGAGTTCAATATAGGGTCTTTCAATAAAGTCCATATTACTGCAAATCATTGAAATTCTTCAATATTTTGTGAAAAAACAAGAGTTGAACATCCATTTTTATATGACCGCAAAAAAATTTTGCGGTCGTATATTGATATGACGTTGGCGGCGGCGTCGTCAGCCGGTGTCGTTGTCGTCTTCGTTGTCGTCGTCCTAAGACACATTGGTTTTCGCACTCTAACTTTAGTTTAAGTGAATGGATCTCTATGAAATTTTACCATAAGGTTCAATACCACAAAAGGAAGGTTGGGATTGATTTTGGGGGTTATGGTACCAACAGTTAAGGAATTAGGGGCCAAAAAGGGGCCAAAAATAAGCATTTTTGTAACTTCCAGACATAACTTGTGTGTTAGTGTATGGATCTCTCTGACATTGTACCACAAGGTTCCATATCACAAAGGGAATTCTGGGATTGATTTTGGGGGTAATTGCCTCAAAATGTTAGGAATTAGGGGCCAAAAAAGGGCCAAAAAACAAGCATTTTTCTAGTTTCATGACAATAACTTGTGTGTAAGTGTATGGATCTTTCTGAAATTGTACTACAAGGTTCCATATCACAAAGGGAAAGCTGGAATTGCGTTTGGGGGTAATTGCCCAAAATGTTTAGGAAAAAGGGGCCAAAAAGGGGCCAAAAATAAGCATTTTTCTAGTTTTTAGACAGTATCTTGTGTTCCAGTGTATGGATCTCTCTGAAATTGTACTGCAAGGTACCATACCACTAAGGGAAGGCTGGGATTGATTTTGGGGGTAATTGCCTCAAAATTTTAGGAATTATGGGCCAAAAAGGGGCAAAAAACAAGCATTTTTCTAGTTTCAGGACAATAACTTGTGTGTTAGTGTATGGATCTTTATGAAATTGTACTACAAGGTTCCATATCACAAAGGGAAAGCTGGGTTTGAGTCTGAGGGTAATTACCCTAAATGTTTAGGAATTTGGAGCCAAAAAGGGGCCAAAAAACAAGCATTTTTCTAGTTTCCAGACAATAACTTGTGTTCAAGTGTATGGATCTCTCTGAAATTGTACTGCAAGGTACCATACCACAAAGGGAAGGCTTTTATTGAGTTTTGGTGTGATGAATCATAAGGGGGTTAAAAAAATTTGGGGGGGGGATTTTTTTTTTCCTTTTTTTCCTTTTTTTTTCTTTAAAATTTTCCATTTTAAATTGGTTATTTCTGATTTATATATAAAAGCAAATAATAATGATATGGTTTGAATATGTAAATTAAAATTTTTTAAGTTCTTAGACCACATTCATTCTGTGTCAGAAACCTATGCTGTGTCAAATATTTAATCACAATCCAAATTCAGAGCTATATCAAGCTTGAATGTTGTGTCCATACTTGCCCCAACTGTTCAGGGTTCGACCTCTGCGGTCGTATCAAGCTGCGCCCCAGCGGAGCATTTTATCATTTTTATTTTCTGAAATCAATTGATCTAAATAATGACCTATAGAAACATGTCAGATTCCTTTTGAAAAGTGTCTTTCTCATTTAAGAAAATAATTCCCCTATAAGATCTATACAAAATTGTTTTATTAAGACCCAAATATTTATAAATCAAAAATAAGTAAGGAAATCTATATTTTGTAGAAGAATATCTAATACTGTAAATTCAGAAATGATTGTGAGCATTTATTATTGCCGAAAATTGAGATTAATTATTGCTATTTAAGGAAAAGTTGCATAAGGATGTAAGCATCAGATATCAGAATGAGAGTTCTTATTATTCAGATACTAAGCTAGCCAGTCACATAATTACCATTAATAAAAACATCACAATAATTTTTTATTTACAGTATATGAATATTTAAACTCTGTTGCAGGAAAATATTATGAAAATCTATTGTATATATTCATTTTAGTGTATAGCTGTTTCAAAAAATTCTCATCATGTATTGCTTAGAATGTAACAAAATTTTAGATAAATGTGAATTGATATTGGTAACATGACATGAAAATATGTATCGACTTTTATGTATTGAAAACTTTATTAAGATTTGATGGAAAATCTTTGTTGTTAGGTGCAAATTATTTATTACGAGGTGATGAGGAAAGTTCAATAGGCACGACAAGTCCGACACCATGTAGTGAAGATTTCTCAGATGCAAGTGAACTCAGAGGGCTCGGAAGGGAGCAAATTTCTCCCTATGAAAAAAAGTCCCCAGGTAGAAAATGACAAAAATCAATGTTATTTCATTAGTTAGAGCTTGGCTTGATGGACTGTGTTGCCATGGTAACTATTTCACCATGGTTACTGTCACTGGCTTAGAATGTTTTTGTTTTTTAATTTGCAGACACAAGTTATCTCCCCTTCCTAAGCTTCATATTGTGGTGTCGGTCTTTTTCATTTCTTTTTCTATTTGATATATATGTCAATATTTTTACCAGTTTTTACAAATAATTAAAGCTATCAAAGCCATTATTTCACATCATTTTACTTTTCATTGTCTTGTAAAAATTATCATAGAAATGTATTTCCTCTATAACATATATAGATAGGTTTCTATATGACATAATTTGAGTCTGAGTTATTTCCCTTGGCTCCCATTTTAGAGGGATAAACAGTTGATTTTCTTATTTGACTAATCAAATTGAAACATGCCGTACATACAAGTTTGATAAGAGATCCTTTGTAGATCCTTATGATGAATTATAGAATGCTAAATAAAAGAAATAAGAATTTGTTAAGAAAACATTTTTTCAAAAGTCTAGCGGTCAGTATAACAAGTTGAATTTGGCTGATTTATGAAGGTATTTCTGCACGTAGACCTCCAACATGGCAACGATTCGGAAATAACTCTTGCTCAAATTGTGTCAATCAAACCCATCTATTGCATGTTTTAGCTTTTCTTTTTAACAACTTAAATAATATACATGTATTTGTTAACAAATTTTCTTGTGAGCAGCAATATAAGATATGGTGATGTGATATGATTGCCAATGAGACAACAATCTATAAGAGAATAATAGTTCACTGTACAGCCTTCAACAATAAGCAAAATAAGCTATAAAAGGTCTTAGAATGGCAAAATGTGAAACAATTCAAAAGAGAAAACCAACAGACTGATCTATGCTGAAAGCAATAAACGGAAAACAAATAAGTCAGACAGTAACCAACAAACACCATTGCATTACAGGCTCCTGACAGTTTAGGTTAAATTATGACAAGTGATTTGTTAGCTATTGAAATTAATGTTGCACAGGTGATAGTGGGTCTCATTGAGGTCAAAGCGTGACCCAGGATTGCCGATTTTTTGTAAGCGTGACACGTGAAAGTCAAATTATTGTGCCGTGAAAACGGGAAATGAAGTCCAACGGGACACGGGAAATTACAAAAAAATGAGAATTGCTTACGTACATAGTGTAAGCGGGATACGGGAATCTGACAAAACAGTAAGCGGGATCCGGGATCAGAACCCCCCAATGAGACCCCCGTGATATGGTATGTTTCTGGTGACTTTACCTATGACCTCAACAATTTTGTCTTTTAACACCTGACATTTTCAACACCTTATATTTTTAATGTCAGCCCTAAAAAATAAAATAGAACTGAATTCTTGCAAGAAAACAGGTTTACAGATGTATGATTTTGGTTGTAATTATTATAAGTGGTTTTAGAGCAGAAGTTGGAAGAATTATTGTATTATATTTGGTATGCTTAATCGTTCCTTTTTACATGTTTTAGGGTAATTCCAGAAAGCGATTCAGATTCACCAAATTTATAAAGCGTTGTTTTCATTTTGTACTTGTTGTTTATTCTTAGGGTTAGAAAAATAAATGAATAATTTTCCTATTATATTTAAACTCAAAGAAATAAAACCTATTATTTCGTACCCAATAAATTGGCTGTTAGCCATCTCTTTTGATAATAGAGTTCAAACATTTTTACATTGATATCAGCAAGCATCCAAATACACAATATTCTTTTCTGATTTTGATGCTTTAAATGAATACTGAGGATTCTTTTATTCTGGGGGATACCAATTTTTTGTGGATTGAAGAAAATTGGGTGTTTTTGTGGATTTTTTATTTCGTGGTTTTGCAAAAGTTTGTATACCTGTCCATTGACAATTTATACAGTGTTGAACATTTTTTTGTGGTTTCCATAAATCAAAAATTGGTACCCTGCGAATAATTCTGAATCCACAGTACCTCAGCAAAATTTATTTAAAGTTTTTCAAAATTTAGGAAGCTGATCTATCTTTTTCTTTAAAAAAGTGTGGAGTTTATAATGCACATCAGCATTTCTATTTGAAATTGTAGAAAAGTTTACATGACAACCAGCAAACATTGCATTAGAAAAATAGGTATCAAATGTGTGCATTTATTCATAATTACTGTAAATTGAGAAATTTTTGTGTAAGTTTTTTCATGCAATTTTTGCAGAATGGACAATAAAAAAACGTGAGATTGATTATTGCAGCTTCAGGAAAAGCTCATTACAAATATAAGACATTGTATCAGATACCAGAATGCAAGTTCTTATTATTGCGACATTCACAAAGTGGCATTGTTTGCAAAAATAAAAACCTCACATTAATTTCTGAATTTACAGTAGTCTATAGATTGAAGTGGATCTTAATATATTCTTTTTATTTCTTATTGAATACTTATATTAACCCTGAACATGCTGAAGTGAATATTTCCATATTTACTATATACACCAGAACAGTTCCTGACTTTATAGAATATGAGTACAAGCTTGGGATTATATTAGCATGCATATATCAAAGGTGTTTGTTTTTAGCAAGACTTTTATTGAAATAATAATCATAGTTATCAATTCCTCTATCTTGGTTTAGTGTCATTAACCACACAATATCAATTCCTCTATCTTGGTATAGTGTCATTAACCACACAATGAGTCTCAAATATTTTCTTTCTTAATATTTTAAAGGTCAAGAAGATTTAAATGAAAGAAGCAGAGGATCACGTAGAGGAGAAACTCTCAACATACCTGGTGATAAAAGTTCACGCAGGTCAAGGTCACCAGTTCCTGTAGAACCAGAACGCTCACGTCATAGGTCAAGGTCACCTTCAGCTTTTCACCATGTGCCTGAAAATGTATCTCGCTCACTCTCTCCTGCTAGGTATGTAAGCTGATGGTCATGTGATTTTTTTTATTATGCTCCCTCTGTAGGCGGGGGAATTAAGTGTTACCCTTGACTGTCTGTCCATCTGTCCTTCCATCCCTCCGCCCCATTTTCGTTTACACACTCTAACTTAAGTATGTCTCATCCAAAATTTATGAAACTCATACACAATACTAAGACCTACAACATGCAGACAGAGTTTGAATTTGGTTTGTGAGTCATTTACCATTCTTGAGTTATGCCCTTTTTTAACTTGGAAAATTGCAAAGCTTGAGCAGGGGGATTTGTGTCCTCAGACATATTATTCTTTTTATTTAGGATGTGAAAGTAAGGGCTATTCCATTAAAATGTATGTGGGAGGGTAGGAAGGGACTTTCAAAATATCCCTACAACCAAGAACCATTTTTTAGATAATTTTGCATAATGGTAACAGATGCATACTGAAAAAAGACCCATGACCACATTCAATAATTAAACTTCCCTTCCTACCCTCCTACATACATTTTAATGGAATAGCTCTAAGGAGATACACACACTATTGATTGGCAATTGTCTCAATAGTCCACCAGAGACCAAAGAATGTTGGGGTTAGCATCTATATACTATAGGTTACAGTAAAACCTTCAACAATCAAAAAAAAAAACTGTGTTTTAAGCCATGAAAGGTCCAAATGAATGACTACACAAAATGAAACAGGAAAACCTACAGCCTGATTCATGCTAAAACAATGAACAAAAAACAAATATGGCAGAAAAAAAAGGAAAAAAAAGACATAAAGTACCATTACTGAAAGCTAGTTTTGCTTTTTTTTTTTATGTTTTTGCAAAAGTATGCTGAGAAAAAGACTTAAATGACATACTGAAGGTCACATTTGTATCATTATCCGTTTAGCAGAGAAGGGGAGGCAATTCAATTATATTTCAAAAACCACAAATTTATGACTATTTTATGACATTTTGTTTGTTAATATGATGATCTTACGAAAAGTGATTATGAGAATTGAGTTGTACTTTCTGCAGAATTTAAAATTGGTTATTTCTTGGGCAAAACCTTGTTCTGATATTCTGTAAAATTAAATTTTCATAAGGAAATATTTTCAAGCTCTTATTTTAATTGCCAAATTAGGGAAAATAAATCCCTCATAAAAATTTCCCATTTTAAAGTATATGTTAATGTCACCTACAACTATATACCAATTTTACTTTCATCTTTTCCAGAACATCAAGTTCACCAGTTCGGCTCGTTGGAACGTCACCTTCTAGTACACCATCACCTAAGAAACGTCAGCTACCATCAATACCATTAGAGGCACAGCTCAGAAGCCGTGATAAAGGTAGGTCTTATTATAGTTATTATATTCCATAGTGTTATTAGCAGGGATTAAGGTTGTTTTTGACCTGTAGCCATTTTGTTATTGCATGTATAATGCCTTTTTTTCTTGACAAATTTACTTCATCTCTTTAATTAGACGAGTTCGGGTATTTAAAAAATGGGAAATGGGAACCATACTTATCAAGGATAGGAAGTTGTTCAAATGTTTCATAGATATTTATGTAACAATGTTATAGGACAAAAATAGGCCTTCGTTTCTTAAAGGAGCTCCTTCAAATTTGAATGAGAGTTTACTCGTCGAAATTTAAGAAGATTTAAATTATAAGAATGATTAGAAATATAGTGCTGTAAATTCAGAAATTATTGTGTGTATTTATTATTGCGATTTTTGAAGAAGGACATAAATGCGAGATTAATTATTGCAATTTAAGGAAAATCTGCATACAAATATAGGTATAAGATGTCACAATGCAATTTCTTATTATTGTGATACTCACTTAGTTGCATCATTAACATTAATAAAAACCTCGCAATAATTTCTGAATTTATAGTCCTTAATATTTTTGGTGATTGATTGAAATGTTAGAAATCATTATAACCCTTGTTTAAACCTTGCAGTATTTTGGTAATTAGAAAAAATGTAAATTGAAAACAGTTTTTGGTGAGGGAGTGTCTGCTATTTATTGTTTTGAGGGTGGGGTAGAATTGAGCTTGCCTATTACTATAAATGGGATATTTTAAGACATTTTCTGCTAATTATTTATTTTTGACTATACCAGAATCATAGTTGTAATAAAAAGCTAGTTATATAAGATGTCAAAATATTAACCAGTTGGGTAGAATCCATTACACTGGCCTTGGGAAGTGGGAAAATTAACTACTTATTTTCATAAATTCTTGTTTTAATGCATACTTATGCTTAAAAGTTTTAGGAATTTGCCAGGAAGTTTGGTTCTTTATAATATTCATAACCATCTAAGTTTTCATTTCTAAACGTTCAACCATGATGGGAAATACACAGTTAGAAAAAATGTTTGTTTGAAGAATTTTGAATTGTTACAAAAATGAATTTATTTTCTTATTCGTGGCCTCAAACGCAAATAAAGTATTTATGAACAAAAACTCAAACACATATCTATGGGAAACAGCTCGCCTAGAAGAGTGCATCAAAGTTTTATTTTTTCTAACAAATACAAATGTCAATCACTTTGCCAGCACACTAAGACCGCTGCAGCATACATGTCTTACAAACATATCTACAAAGAAAAATAATGAAATAGAATTCGTTCATATCATAAAACAATATTTACATAATGTTCTTTCAAGATCTGCAGAATAAACGTAATGCTTTTACAATAATTAGAAATTAATACAAAAAGTTTTCACAGGGGGAGGGGGGAAACTTTTTTGCACTAAGACTGAGCTTCGAATGGTCAAACTATGAAAATGTATTTTCAATGCAAACTTTTACCGCAAATGACCAGTCCGTGCTATCATATAAAGAAACTTTAAACTCTTACTTTGTTAAGGTGACTTATTGTTATGCTAAGATAATTTAAATATTATTGCAAACATATGAACACATGTTCCCAATATAACAACAAACCCATGTGCTATTGATAGTTAATAATTACATTTATAAATAGAAATTAATTAACAAAGTGACATGTCTATATATTTTAAAGCTTATTTGCAAGGTGAAGGTAGGAAATGGTTGCATTATTTTGAATATGATTTTTCACTGACATCTTATCAGAAGGTTTGCCATGAAGTTATCGCATTTTAAAATCGAGCAATTTTTGTTTTTTTGTGACTATTCTAGGAAGAGAGCAATGTGTGGGGATATATTTATTTTATTTTGCAGATCCTGCACTGGAACTTTTCTTAATATGAATTTATTGTTAAACAGCATGTCAATGGTTATTTCACTGCATATTTTAAGTTTATTTCACATGCATCGTTGATATGATGGTTCCACACACACATATAGTTAATTATTAACAAAAAACAAATTTCTATGGCAAAATGATAGGTCAAGGTTTGGAACAGGACACAAAATTAGAGGGGAGTTCTCTTTGATCTCAATCAAGACCAATATTTCTGCATAGTAATATAATATTCCAGTTAATCATTGCTGGAAATTATTATATGTAATTGTATGGAATTTTAGATACATTTATACAAATAAGTGCTGGCTTTTAAACATCATGCTCAAAAAGTCCACATAAATTTACAGTACTGTAAATAATTAAAAAAAAACTGTATATTTATTATTGCAATCTTTGAACAATTTATTAATTATAATAATTGCAATTTCAGGAAATTATGTATACAAATAATGATATCAAAATTAATGCAATTAATTTAATTTGCCATTTTATATTTTAACAAAACCTTCCCTGTCTCATGTTTCGAAATAATAAGAAAAATCACAAAATACAACAACATCCAAAACTTTAAAAAAAAATTGAAGAACATACAAGTATAAAAAACAAAGAACAACACATGGTAGAATTAGCCTGACTTGGTACAGGTATAAACTCTGGTGGGGTTATACCAGTTTTATGTGGGCACAAAACATCCTTTTTGCCTATCTAGACCATTTGTTGTAAATATAAAAAACACATTGAAGTGCAGCTACCAACAGAATGACCAGTTACTTGATCAATGATATAAAAGACGGGACACAATTTGAAATCCATGGTCAAAACATTGCTTGCTACTATTGGAAGCTAGCTTAGGTAACCACAGCTTTTGGATGAACGCTGACTCGACTCTCAAGAAAACAAAAACAATCTAGGTAGATTTGTATCCTATATCAACATTTTTGACATCTAGGCATTTGAGATTTTTCTAAAAGTGGAGTAAATTAATACATGACAACAAGAGGGCAGTAAAATAAAGAAAAGGCTTGTTCCTTTTAAAACTTTCGGGAAAAAAGAGAAAATGTGATTTAAAATTTTTTTTATAATGGGAAAATATAATCATTTAATTCATTTGTCATTAAACATACAGTGGATTCATTATTATTCGTGGGAAACCAATTTTCATGGATTTCGTGGATACAGGTGAACCACAAATTTAAATGTGCAACGAATTTCAAATATTCTAGGACTTAGGAATCTGAGGTTCAGTAGTTGTCCTGTGTTGATGTAGTTCATAAGTGTTTCTCGTTTCTCGTTTTTTATATAGATTAGACCGTTGGTTTTCCCATTTGAATGGTTTTACACTAGTAATTTTTTGGGCCCTTTATAGCTTGCTGTTCGGTGTGAGCCAAGGCTCTGTGTTGAAGACCGTACTTTTACCTATAATGGTTTACTTTTATAAATTGTGCCTAGGATGGAGAGTTGTCTCATTGGCACTCATACCACATCTTCTTATATCTATTTGGCAAAACCACGAAATCAAATATCCATGAAAATGCAAGTTTTCCTTAATCCACAAAATTTGGTACCCACTAAAATAAATGAATCCACAGTATACAGATAAAGACAAAAATGTTGATATTTCATACTTATTTGGTGTTGTTAAACTGTTTGTTTCATGGTTTTTGCTATGAACATACTCTTAATTCTCTTATAGATTTTTGGCTTAATTTTCCAGTGACACAGGACCTTGAAAAAAGAGCGCAGCAAATTCGCATGAGAATCAAACCATCACCTGGGTCCGATTCAGAATCTCGTAGGGGGCGCATTTCAGATTCGGAGGGTTATCGAGCAGGACGTAACTCCAGCAGTCGAGATAGAACAAGGGGTTCATCCTATGACCGAGGAGATTTTTCCTATGAAAGGGAAAGAGGAAGAGAGTTTGCAAGAGTTCATCCTGGAGGACACAGATCCAAACGAAAAGGTAGAAAAAAAATTCTGTTTGATTAAGTAATTTTTTTCAAGTTAAATTGTTCTACCATAACGATAAACATTAGTATAATTTTTTGATCGATACTATGAATTAAAGAATATGTTGGGTATGCAATAATGAGACAGCAATTATTAATTGTATTTGAATTGTTGAACTATATTTTAGAAAATGCTGCATATACATTATAATCTAATGAAAAATTTTTAAATGTTGGGTTTTTTTCTGAAACCTTTTTGGTTTAAATTTTCGCAATAATAATATTAAACTATGAACAAATTTCACAATTTACATATATATAAAGTATTGGTGTTTTTTTTTCTTTTCAGAATTCAGTCCTGATATTGATGATATCGGCAGTGATGCATCTGAAACCAGTGATATGTCTGAAGTTTCAAAAGTCAGTATTAACAGTTACATGTCTACACAGTCAGAAAGACCACAAAGAAAATTCAGGTAAACATTTAAGGGTACAACTTTTATTTATGCAGAATTTTTTAAAACTTAATGGTAAAAAATTGTACTGGATGAAAGTTTGATTTTATGTTATTTCAATTGTTATTTAAAACTGCCATATTCTTGCAAGGGGGTCTCATTGGGGTCTAAGCGTGTCGCTGGACTCGTGAAAGTCAAATATTTGTGCGTGAAAACAGGAAACGAAGTCAGGCGGGACACGTGAAATTACAAGCGTTATCAAACAATGATAAGCGGGATACAGGAATCAGAAAAAACAATAAGCAGGATCCGGGGTCAGACCCTCCCCAATGAGACCTCCTTGCAAAAATTTTAGGTTTTGAATTCAGCAAAAATATTGAATAGTAAATCTGTTAAGGTCAATATATATATTGTAGCAACTTTTGGTAAGTGACTTTTACCAGAAAATTAATAAGTTGCTAGATTGATCCCCCTGAAAATCAGCATTATCTGAGGGATCAAACCCATAAAGAATCTGGTATTCAGGAAAGCTGCTAACAAAAAGTTGTTGCCTTTTATATAATCATTTGCACTTTGCAATATTGAACCCAAAAAGATTTTTTTACACAGTAAAATTATAACCAATTTGGGAGATAATTTCAACCTAGTGAAGTGCAAAGTCATCAGAAACAATTTTCAAACACAGTTTCTTGTAAAAATTTAAGTGAATTTTTTGTTATTTTGTAAACTGTTTGTTAAAATTTATGCATATTATTTTGTTTTGGGTACCAGGGTGCATTATGTTTCCCTTCTTTATGCATCTGTCTGTTAGTCCTTCTGTCCATTAGTCTGTCTGTTTGTCCTTCTGTCCATTAGTCTGTCTGTTAGTCCTTCTGTCCATTAGTCTGTCTGTTAGTCCTTCTGTCCATTAGTCTGTCTGTTAGTCCTCTGTCCATTAATCTGTCTGTTAGTCCTTCTGTCTATTAGTCTGTCTGTTAGTCCTTCTATCTATTAGTCTGTCTGTTTGTCTTTCTTTCTATTAGTCTGTCTGTTAGTCCTCCTGTCTATTAGTCTGTCTGTTTGTCTTTCTGTCTATTAGTCTGTCTGTTTGTCCTTCTGTCCATTAGTCTGTCTGTTTGTCCTTCTGTCCATTATCCTGTCTGTTTGTCCTTCTGTCCATTAGTCTGTCTGTTAGTCCTTCTGTCCATTAATCTGTCTGTTAGTCCTTCTGTCCATTAGTGTGTCTGCTAGTCCTTCTGTCCATTAGTCTGTCTGTTAGTTCTTCTGTCCATTAGTCTGTCTGTTAGCCCTATATCATGTTGATGAAGTTTTATACCTTGAAGTTGTGATCACATCAACTTAAAACTTTGTACACATGATCACTATGAATCAAATTGGATCCCTTTTCTAGTTCTGAAATAAAAAGATTAATATTTTTGTAATCTTAAAATGAAAACAGATTGGCTGGGTTTATATTATTCAATTTTTATACTACCGCAAAATTTTTTTGCGGTCGTATATTGGTATGACGTTGGCGTCATCATCGTCGTCGTCGTCCGAAGACACATTGGTTTTCGCACTCTAACTTTAGTTTAAGTGAATAGATCTCTATGAAATTTTACCATAAGGTTCAATACCACAAAAGGAAGGTTGGGATTGATTTTGTGGGTTATGGTACCAACAGTTAAGGAATTAGGGGCCAAAAAGGGGCAAAAAATAAGCATTTTTGAAACTTCCAGACATAACTTGTGTGTTAGTGCATGGATCTCTCGGAAATTGTGCCACAAGGTTCCATATTACACAGGGAATGCTGGGATTGATTTTGGGGGTAATTGCCTCAAAATATTAGGAATTAGGGGCCAAAAAAGGAGCAAAAAACAAGCATTTTTCTAGTTTCAAGACAATTACTTGTGTGTAAGTGTATGGATCTTTCTGAAATTGTACTTCAAGGTTTCATATCACAAAGGGAAAGCTGGAATTGAGTTTGGGGGTAGTTGCCCAAAACGTTAAGGAATTAGGGGCCAAAAAGGGGCCAAAAATAAGCATTTTTCTAGTTTCCAGACAATAACTTTGTTCAAGTGTATGGATCTCTGTGAAATTGTACTGCAAGGTACCATACCACAAATGGAAGGCTGGGATTGATTTTGGGGGTAATTGCTTCAAAATTTTAGGAATTAGGGGCCAAAAAAGGGGCAAAAAACAAGCATTTTTCTAGTTTCAGGACAATAACTTGTGTGTAAGTGTATGGATCTTTATGAAATTGTACTACAAGGTTCCATATCACAAAGGGAAAGCTGGGTTTGAGTTTGGGGGTAATTGCCCTAAACGTTTAGGAATTTGGGGCCAAAAAGGGGCCAAAAAACAAGCATTTTTCTAGTTTACAGACAATAACTTGTGTTCCAGTGTATGGATCTTTCTGAAATTGTACTGCAAGGTACAATACCACAAATGGAAGGCTGGGATTGATTTTGGGGGTAATTGCTTCAAAATTTTAGGAATTAGGGGCCAAAAAAGGGGCAAAAAACCAGCATTTTTCTAATTTCAGGACAATAACTTGTGTGTAAGTGTATGGATCTTTATGAAATTGTACTACAAGGTTCCATATCACAAAGGGAAAGCTGGGTTTGAGTTTGGGGGTAATTGCCCTAAACGTTTAGGAATTTGGGGCCAAAAAGGGGCCAAAAAACAAGCATTTTTCTAGTTTACAGATAATAACTTGTGTTCAAGTGTATGGATCTCTCTGAAATTGTACTGTAGGTACCATGCCACAAGGGGAAGGCTGGGATTGAGTTCTGGGGGGATGAATCATAAGGGGGTTCAAAAAATTTTGGGGGGATTTTTTTTTCTTTAAAATTTTCCATTTTAAATTGGTTATTTCTGATTTATATATAAAAGCAAATAATAATGAAATGGTTTGAATAGGTAAGTTCTTAGACCACATTAATTCTGTGTCAGAAACCTGTGCTGTGTCAAATATTTAATCACAATCCAAATTCAGTGCTGTATCAAGCTTGAATGTTGTGTCCATACTTGCCCCAACTGTTCAGGGTTCGACCTCTGCGGTTGTATCAAGCTGCGCCCAGCGGAGCATTTTATTTTTATTATACAACCGCAAAAAATTTTGCGGTCGTATATTTGTATCACGTCGTCGTCGTCAGCGTCGTCCAAAGACATTTGGTTTCCTGACCATAACTTTAGTAAATGTAAATAGAAATCTATGAGGTTTATAACCAAAAAAGGAAGGTTGGGAGTGATTTTGGGGGTTTTATTCCTAACAGTTTAGGAATTAGGGGCCAAAAAGCGGCCCAAATAAGCATTTTTAGCTCACCTGACCTAAAAGGTCAAGTGAGCTTTTCTCATCACTTTGCGTCCGTCGTCCTGCGTCCGTCGTCCGTCGTCCGTAAACTTTTACAAAAATCTTCTCCTCTGAAACTACTGGGCCAAATTTGACCAAACTTGGCCACAATCATCATTGGGGTATCTAGTTTAAAAAATGTGTCCGATGACCCCGCCAACCAACCAAGATGGCGGCCATGGCTAAAAATAGAACATAGGGATAAAATGTAGATTTTGGCTTATATCTCTGAAACCAAAGCATTTAGAGCAAATCTGACATGGGGTAAAATTGTTTATCAGGTCAAGATCTATCTGCCCTGAAATTTTCAGATGAATCGGACAACCCATTGTTGGGTTGCTGCCCCTGAATTGGTAATTTTAAGAAAATTTTGTCGTTTTTGGTTATTATCTTGAATACTATTATAGATAGAGATAAACTGTAAACAGCAAAAATGTTCAGCAAAGTATGATCTACAAATAAGTCAACTTGACCAAAATGGTCAGTTGACCCCTTAAGGAGTTATTGCCCTTTATAGTCAATTTTTAACCATTTTTCGTAAATTTTTGTAATCTTTTACAAAAATCTTCTCCTCTGAAACTACTAAGACAAATTTAACCAAAATTGTCCACAATCATCATTAGGGTATCTAGTTTAAAAAATGTGTCCGATGACCCTGCCCGCAAACCAAGATGGCCGACATGGCAAAAAAATAATACATAGGGTAAAATGCATTTTTTGGCTCATATCTCTGAAACCAAAGCATTTAGAGCAAATCTGATGGTATAAAATTGTTCATTAGTTCAAGATCTATCTGCCCTGAAATTTTCAGACCAATCAGGCAACATGTTGTTGGGTTGCTGCCCCTGAATTGGTAATTTTAAGAAAATTTTGCAGCTTTTGGTTATTATCTTGAATATTATTATAGATAGAGATAAACTGTAAACAGCAATAATGTACAGCAAAGTTAGATCTACAAATAAGTCAAACATGACCAAAATTGTCAATTGACCCCGTTAAGGAGTTATTGCCCTTTATTGTCAATTTTTTACAATTTTCATAAATTTTGTAAATTTTTGTAAATTTTTACAAAATATTTTCCACTGTAACTACTGGGCCAAGTTCATTATAGATAGAGATAATAGTAAGGAGCAAGAATGTTCAGTAAAGTAAGATCTACAAACACATCACCATCACCAAAACACAATTTTGTCATGAATCCATCTGTGTCCATTGTTTAATATGCACATAGACCAAGGTGAGCGACACAGGCTCTTTAGAGCCTCTAGTTCTAGTTTCCAGACAGTAACTTGTGGAACGGTGTATGGATCTCTCTGAAATTATACCACAAGTTTCCATACCACAAAAGGATGATTAGGATTGGCTTTGGGGGGTTATAGCACAAACCGTTTAGGAATTAGGGGCAAAAAAGGGGTAAAATCAAGGGTTTCCTGGTTAATGGACAATTAAAAAAAAGTACAATGTTATATTTGGATTACCTCCCTTACACTGCTTTTAAATTATGTATAAAGAAATGTTGTATTGTCTTGAGGTGATTAGCTGTCAATTTATTTTTAGAAGTTACTATTTAAAAATGCTGATTAAGGAATATTAATTTTAGACATGATTATGTATGTCACTTTCTATTTTAAGACTATTATGATGTATTTAAATGGGTAATTATGGTTGCAAACTTCATTGGAAATTTGAATTGAGATTATGACCATATCTTGATGGAAAGATTTTTTTTTTGGAAAAGGGGGGGATGTGTAAAAAAGAAAATGTGAGGGGGGGGGGGGGCAATAAAATATTTTTTTTTTCAAAAAAAAAGGGGGGGGGGGGTAATTTTTTTTTTTTTTTTGAGGGGGGGAGGTCATCTAGCAACAGCATAGTGTATTGTGCAAAAGCAAAAAAAAAGGGCGGTAAATTTTTTTTTGGGGGGAGGGGGGGGGGGGGGGGAGGTCAATTTGCAACAGCATAGTGTATTGCACAAAAGCAATAAAATGAATATAAATTCAAATCATATAACCAATTCTAAGTTCTTTGACTACAGTTATTCTGTTTCAGAAACCTATTACAATGTATGTATCAAATATTTAATTACAATCCAAATTCAGACCTGTATCAAGCGCGAATATTGTGTCCATTTTTGCCCCAACTGTTCAGGGTTGGACCTCTGTGGTCGTATCCAGCTGTGCTCGGCAAAGCAATTTATTAGCATTCTGTGAAATTTTGATTGTCTTCTGAACTTCTAACTTTTTTTCATGGTGATGTAATCTTTCTTTTTCTTCTATCTATCGTTAATGCCTTTTATCTTTCTGTCCTCTTTTAGTTTGGAGAAAACAGATTTAAGTGCATATGATAATATTAATATCACTGATCATTTTCTTAATGGTTGATGCAAATGTTCATACAAAATGGTGGGAAAACATGCTGCTGTCATATTTGTCTGGTTTAATAACATTTTCATCACAAAAGTGTCCCAATGAATGAAACCTGTTAGTATTTATTGTCAACAAATATGGCATACAGATCTTCTTTATCAATGTTTTGTTGCAAAAGATATTAAATTTATGTAATATTTTTTGTTGAAAACAGTAGTTAAGTCATAGTAAGATGCCAATTAATGCATAACTTGAATTACTTTATATATGTTGAAGGATATTGGCAATTCTCATTGACTAGTGCCACACATCTATTTAGAATCATGTTTTGACATGACATAGTATAAAGTACTTTTTAAAATATAATGATTATCTAATAAATTTTTAGTGAATTTACCCAAAAAATGGAGAGCAAGTCTACCACCATGCAGCGACGACAACAGGTAGCAAGATCTGGTAGTAATGATGGTCAAGGAGGGTATGAAAAGTCTGATGGCAGTTTGTCAGACTCTGCCTTAAGTGCACCAGTTACAGAGGGTCGATCAAGGAGAAGAACTAGTATTAGTAATAAAATGGCTAATTTTGTCAATCTACCGTGGAAAAGTAATAGTGCGACTCAGCTGGCAGGTATGATATTTCCTTAGGACTGTTCCAAAATTGATCATGGTGGGTGCATAGGATGCACTGAAATTAATTTAAGTGGGTGGTTGCGTTTTTCCAAGAAATTTCTAAGCTTGTTATCTTTTAAGATTTTTTTGCATCCACTTCCATACAATGCACAGTGGTTGACATACAAAATGATGGGTGTCAATCCTGTTGTTTTGCCTTGTTGCAGGCTTTTCAAAACAGTCATATTAAACAGATTTGGCTGTTTCTTTTAATATTTGTTCGTCTAGAATTTTAGTGAAAGTGACCATGCAGCTTAGTTCATAAGTAAAAAAATCGAAGTGTCAGTGATTTTTAGGGCAAAACAATTTTCCCTAACACAGGCACAGTTTTCAAGTCATAAAAGTGACAATATAGGAGTAAATACTGCAAAAACAAGTCTGTCTTAAATGAACCTTTCATCAATACAATTATTTAGTTATTCACAAGAGTTAATTGGTTGGCAGACAGCTTTGGTTTACCTGTTCACCAGACAGGTAAAATGTTATGCCAGTCATCAACCAATCGTTCTGGACAATTTTCTTGTGTTTAAATGATTTTCAGCTCAATATTTAGCAATGAATATAGCTAACATTGAAGTTAGTCTTTTTTAGTTGGTAATATATTCATCATAGACCGTCATTAATTGGTAGGCTACATATATTTGTTTAGTACAACAGGTAAGATATAACTATATACAACCACTAACAAGACTCTTGATTTGTTGTTTTCATTTCTGAAATTTGAAATTGGAAGATATATATGTTTTAACTTTTTAAATTACTGTTTATTTCAGAGAGTAAAAAGAGAAGTAGTGTACAAAGAAGTGAGGAAGTGAGAACATCTGGTGATATCCACCTCTCTAACAGGATATCTAAACAGGCCAGTAAAGAGTCTACTGACGGCAGTATAGGGAGCATCAGCAGTGACTCTGGCAGTGTGTAAGTATTTTTTTAGACAGACCCTTCCACTCGTAACACAAAGTAGGCCAGATAAGAATCCATGGATGCCATTATAAAGAGCAGATTCTGGTAGTGTGTTAGTAGTCATATGACCTCTCTTCTAAGCCTACACTTTATAACAGGTGGTAGAATAGGGAGCATTAGTCATTTAAACCTTTTTCCCCGGCCACCCAAAACAGGCAAGTAAAGAGACTATGTGTACAAAGGTACACTTGAGCATAAACATTCTTCTGCCAAACAAACACAAAACAGGCCAGTGAATACTCCCCAGTTTAAAATATTTGGAGCATCAGTATTGATTTTTTGAAGTGTGTGAATAGCAATTAAGGTAGCTAGGGTGTCTTCCTCCATCTTGGATTTTGAAATAGCAGATAACAATCGGTCTAGATCTTTAAAGAAATGTGCAAATTTTGAGAGTAGTATGTAATTCATGTGTAAGACTTTTCATGTTAATATAGAAAATTATGTGTTTTATCATATTTACTGCTATATTTTACAAAAAACAGAATATTTTTGTTTGATTCATTTTTTTTCAACTTTGCCATATAAGGGGAGATAACTCAGATAAAGTAACTTTTATAATAGAATGTGTTGTGAATTTACCTATTTTATTATGTAGCAAGAAAACAAGTCCAGCGACCCCATTTTTTCTTTTTCTTATCTGAAAGCATATTAATAGAGCTATCTTCTCATATTTTATCTTAAAATTCTATGGTGTAGTTTTCTTTTTATCACACAAAATTGGGTTTTTCATGCATAATCTACAAAATCTGACAATTTTGCACAACCTGTAGCATGAAGAAAAGCCCGTCGACCCATACTTTTTATTATATTTTTGGAAAAAGCATGATATAAACTGCATTTTGACAAATTATCAAAAGATTCTATGGATTTTAATTTAGACCCCCTATCTACCTTAAGCATGATTTTATAGTAGATGTATACTTATTTTTAATGAAAATATGTGTAGTACTAAGTATTTAATACTCTTATTTTTTTCAGTGTATGGTTGCCTACAGGGATGAGATTAGGACCAGAGGGGCAATTTGGAGAGTTTATTGAAGGTCTGGGTCCTGCCCAGCTAGTTGGCAGGCAGGTACTAGGATCACCATGTCTAGGAGAGATACAATTAGGCCTGTATGATAGGAAAGGGCACCTTGAAGTTGAAGTGATTAGGGCTAGAGGATTGATGTCAAAACAAGGAGCAAAGATATTACCAGGTAAGTGTACAAGATTAACAGCTGTTAATGATATAGAATTCAGTGAGTGATTTATAAAAAAGAATTGATCTTTGCCTACAGACAGTAAATAGAAAAATGTAGGACCAATTTAGATTAACCACCAACTGCACATCTTTCCCTATGACAAATGGAGTGATAAGATGCTAAATTTTGGAAGAAAAAATAATTTTCAATTTTCATCATTACATAGTCAGGTTTCTTAAGGAAGATCACTGCAGACTGCAAGTTTGAATTAAAGGAAATTTGGAGTATATGTCAATAACCCAACACAAAAAAAAACCCTAAAAAACGAAAAGGTTAACTACATTCAATAAATTCTGAATAGATGATTTAGAAAAAAAAACATATGCATATTGAAGAAGTGAACTACAAAATGTTAGCTGTATAGCAGAAATCGTTGGTTTGATCACTTGCCAATTCAAATTAATGACTTGAAAATGTAAGCAGGGATCATGTTCATATCACATTAATATGTTCTCTTACTGATATGCATGTTATATTTGCAACTTAAAGTTACTGTAAATTCAGAAATTATTGCGACGTTTTTTATTATTGCGAAAAATGCGACAGGGTTAGAAGCGCAATAATTTAAACTCGCATTTTGAAATTTTTTATGAGAATTAAACAGGATTTTTCTAAATATCGCAAAAATTAAAATCGCATTTTAGTCTAAAATGACAAAATCGCAATAATAAATGCCCGCAATAATTTCTGAATTTACAGTAAGCACCTTTCAATTATCATCATATAGTGAACATCTTAAGCTTACTCCAACCAATTCCATTGTCTGTTGTTTCAAAGTAAGATAAACTTTCTTTTATTCAGTCTTTGTATTACAGGTAAAACTAGATTAACAACAATTTCCATTGGTACAATGTAATAGTTTATGTAAAGTTTTTACTTCTTTTTTTACAGCCCCATATGTAAAAGTGTATTTGATAGATGGTAAGAACTGCATAGAAAAACAGAAGACAATAGTCGCTAGAAGGACCCTTGACCCTCTTTACCAACAACAGTTAGTGTTTACAGAACAGTATATTGGCAAGATTTTACAGGTTAGTTTTTGCTATGTGCATAGGAATCATTTTTTTTTCTTAGATTTTGAAATTAAATTACTTATTGACCTTTCAATGACATCTTTAACCTGCTTTTTCTGATGGAAAAAAGATCAGTTGTTGATTTGAGGTAGCACAGCGGGACAAGTGGGTAGTTGGAGCAGCTGATTTTGTTTTCATGCAATAATTTTTCAAATTTTAAAATGGTGTTACTGAACACCAAATATAGGGTCAAGTTCAATAATTAGGACTTTGACTTGTATGTTTTGGTTGGTACAGTCCTTGGGAGATTGACAAAATGGCACTTTTCTGTGTAATAACTAGAGAATTGTTCAACCAAATGGAGATTAAATTGATTGGAAAATGGCATCTCATGTAGATTCTGTTCAATAATTTGGGAACTTTTGATCCAATTCTTTTAAAACTTTTTAAAAAAGGTTGTTCCTCATGACAAAATGGAAATTAAGATTGGTTTTGGAGATTTTCACTTTTGTGACAGAGTTGTGGATCTTAACTGTTTTAAAAATGGCATTTAAAAATGAAAACATCACTTTATAATGTTCATGCGTCCAAAGCACTTTTCTGGATTTACCTTCATCAGGAACACTTAAAGCCAAATATGTGAAAGCTAAGTATATATAAGAATGGAAACAGTCAAAAAGCTATATGACTGGGAAAAAAAAGCATTAATATATATATGCACAGTACACCATGTTAATTTTGTTTGTGTTTTTCTAATTTATAGGTCACTGTGTGGGGAGATTATGGCAGAATGGACCGTAAAGTGTTCATGGGAGTGGCACAAATTCTACTGGACCACTTAGACTTAACAAACATTGTGATTGGCTGGTACAAGTTGTTTACTAGCTCCTCATTGGTTGGTCATCACTCATCAACATCAACGTTAGGACATTCACGTAAAGGCTCAACTACTTCACTCGACAGTGGATATAATAATAATAATCTGCGATCGTAGTATTTATACATATTAGAAATTTCCTTTTTTACTTATACAACATAATTCAAATTTAGACTTTATACGTAACTTTTGATTTCATCAAGCATTATATATACTTATCTTCATCACCATGACACATGTGTTAACATGATCAATTTATCATAACTTTTAAATCTAAATACTGTGGATTCATTTTGTCTTTTTGTAGGTACCAGTTTACTGTTTCAGGAAAAAATGTAGTTTGTGGATACTTAATTTCGTTGTTTCCAAATTTTTTTAATACAAGCCTTTAGGATGTACTTGGGTGAAATTAATAAAAAATCTAGAATTTAAAATCGACACTATGTCAGAAGAGCATTTGTTAAGGAACAAAATTAGTTAAAATATTTATAGGTTATGGAGCTCCTTTTCTAGATATTTATTTTTTATACGACCGCAAAAAAAATTTTGTGGTCGTATATTGGTATGACGTTGGCGTTGTTTTTGTCGTCCGAAGACACATTGGTTTTCGCACTCTAACTTTAGTTTAAGTGAATGGATCTCTATGAAATTTTACCATAAGGTTCAATACCACATAAGGAAGGTTGAGATTGATTTTGGGGGTTATGGTATTAACAGTTAAGGAATTAGGGGCCAAAAATAAGCATTTTTGTAACTTCCAGACATAACTTGTGTGTTAGTGTATGGATCTCTCTGACATTGTACGATAAGGTTCCATATCACAAAGGGAATGCTGGGATGGATTTTGGGGGTAATTGCCTGCAAATTTTAGGAATTAGGGGCCAAAAAAGGGGCAAAAACAAGCATTTTTCTAGTTTCATGACAATAACTTGTGTGTAAGTGTATGGATCTTTATGGAATTGTACTACAAGGTTCCATATCACAAAAGGAAAGCTGGAATTGAGTTTGGGAGTAATTGCCCAAAACGTTTAGGAAAAAGGGACCAAAAAGGGGCCAAAAATTTTCTATTACCAGACAATAACTTGTGTTCCAGTGTATGGATCTCTCTGAAATTGTACTGCAAGGTACCATACCACAAAGAGAAGGCTGGGATTAATTTTGGGGGTAATTGCATCAAAAATTTTAGGAATTAGGGGCCAAAGGGACAAAAAACAAGCATTTTTCTAGTTTCAGGACAATAACTTGTGTGTAAGTGTATTGATCTTTATGAAATTGTACTACAAGGTTCCATATCACAAAGGAAAAGCTAAGATTGAGTTTGGGGGTAATTTCCCTAAACGTTTCGGAATTTGGGGCCAAAAAGGGGCCAAAAAACAAGCATTTTTCTAGTTTCCAGACAATAACTTGTGTTCAAGTGTATGGATCTCTCTGAAATTGTACTGCAAGGTACCATACCTCAAAGGGAAGGCTAGGATTGATTTTGGGGGTAATTGCCTGAAAATTTTAGGAATTAGGGGCCAAAAAGGGGGGAAAAAAAGCATTTTTCTAGTTTCAGGACAATAACTTGTGTGTAAGTTTATGGATCTTTATGAAATTGTACTACAAGGTTCCATATCACAAAGGAAAAGCTGGGTTTGAGTTTGGGGGTAATTGCCCTAAACGTTTAGGAATTTGGGGCCAAAAAGGGGCCAAAAAACAAGCATTTTTCTAGTTTCCAGACAATAACTTGTGTTCAAGTGTATGGATCTCTCTAAAATTGTACTGCAAGGTACCATACCACGAATGGAAGGCTGGGATTTAGTTTGGGGATGATGAATCATAAGGGGGTTCAAAAAATTTTTTTTGGGGGGGGATTTTTGTTCTTTAAAATTTTCCATTTTAAATTGGTTAATTTTGATTTATATATAAAAGCAAATAATAACGATATGGTTTGAATAGGTAAATTAAATTTTTTTAAGTTCTTAGACCACATTCATTCTGTGTCAGAAACCTATGCTGTGTCAAATATTTAATCACAATCCAAATTCAGTGCTGTATCAAGCTTGAATGTTGTGTCCATACTTGCCCCAACTGTTCAGGGTTCGACCTTTGCGGTCGTATCAAGCTGTGCCCAGCAGAGCATTTTATTTTAAATTGGCGGGAAAAGGCTGACTCAGACTTTTACCTTAAATTTGCTTTTGTATTATTTGGGTCTCAAATCGAAAGATAAGAAATCTTGAATCTGCCTAAATTTTGGCAAATGACCTTTTACGAGTTATTAAAGATTTATATGAAAAGAAAAATGGATGTTATGGGGCAAAATATTGCGCCCTATATCTTAGGAAAAAAATGAAGGAGTCTGAACATCCTAAAAATTCCTAAACCTGACCTAAGTACATCCTTAAGGAAATTTGATCTGAAAAGTTGAGTTTGTGGTTTATCTATACCCATGATATTTTGTACCACAATAATAATAATGAATACACAGTTACAGGTAGTTTAATGTTTTTATTTATTGATTGTTTTACATTCAACCTTTTCTTTGGCTTATCTTTGATCAGTTAAGAATTTTCTTTTCTTTTTATTTTTAAATAGTTTTCACAGAATGAATTTTCATTTTCTAAAGCCTTAAACTTTTTTAATCACTGCTTGAGATGTCGAAAGTTATGCAATTTCACATAATTCTATGATTAGCTCTAAGCACATTGTACTCTTAAGATTTATTCACATTCTAAATCCTATTAGTTGTTTTAATTCTGACTTTTTGTGTAGCATTAAAAAATTAAGCAGTTAAGTATATAAGTAAATGGTTATATATTTTATGTAGGGCTTTTCTGGAAATGAATGGGGATTTCAATAGACAGTATTACATTTGATGGAAGGGGACTTCAGAAAAAAATAGCTAATGAAATGCTAACTGTTATCCACAAACGTTCAAAAGGGGTGGGGAGGTGGTAGAGTTCTATTTGGCCAAAAGGAGTTTTCAGCCGATTTTTCAGTGATTATAATATGATTAAGAAAATCTTCAAACCCTTTGTGGATCCGCCTGTAAAGTAAAGTTGAAAGTTTTATACATGGTTTGATGAAACAGATTGTGCCCTCTGACCCCTAAGTTTATTTTCTGAACAGCCCATTTTAAAAAAAAACCTTTTTTTTTAAATATTTTTTGTACATTGTGACCTCTTCTGATTATTTCAGTTGTTGCATACAAATTTTTTTTCTGATGCAGTTTTTTTCTCTAAAATATGTTAGAAATTAGAAAGGATCAGTACAAGTAGTTATCATATTATTATAGTGCATTGTGGGAAAAAAAGCCGGATAATAAGAGGCATGCTAATTTTACTTGTTTCACACTAAGCATTAAAAATTGAAGAGTTAGTTGAATTTTATATATAAATTGTCTAAATACTCATAAGATATTTTAGAACAATCATGTTCCATAAAATTTTATTGAGAATATTTCTGTGTTTTAATAAGTCAGCTTTTCTACATTATTGCTGTTATAAAATTTGGCTTTAGAGGATATTAGGAGCTACAAATAAATTCCTTTGTATATGAACTGTTTAGCATAGCTTTACATTCAATAGAATTTTGGTTTTGATTTGGATTCTTAGACTTCTTTTTTATTGTTTTGATTGATAATCAAAATTTATCAAAATAGATGAAACAAAATTTGCAGGTTTGAGCCCTTTTAAAGCATTTATAATTTGTTACTGTTACAATATAATATATCATTATAAAATTGTAAGAAATTCAAAATTGGGCATGTAGTATTGTTAGATTATTTAAAATTGGGCATGTAGTATTGTTAGATTATTTAAAATAGCCAGAATATGAAATTAATCCAAGGGAGACTAATAATACTTCTCTCAGTCTATATTCAGCACATAAGACCAAATTATATAATTATGATGATGTAAAATTATTTTCAAATTTAAACAAAAACCAAGGAAATTGCATATACTTTGAACAGATTTTTAAATGACAAGTTGAAATTAAAATTTCAGATTTGGATTATCTTTCTTTTCCTTCTTAGATATATTCCTTTAACATACTTTTGTATTTAACTAAAATCAGATTTGTTCAATTTTATCTGTCATGAAATTAAAGTCAAAGATGAACTTGACATTGAATTTCTTGACTGTCTGATACCACCATAAGTACCTAGAAAAATATCATAGGGTCACATTTATCATGTTTCGAAAATGAAAATGCAGACAATCTCACTTTTTGTCACTTCGAGTCTTAAAAAAAAAGAGTCAAATAAGGGCAGTTACTGAGGGCATTTAGCCTCATGGCCAATTGAAAAGACTACTAAATAAGTTTTGAACTGAAACAGCCAGTTTGATGTGAAACAACTGAACATTAACCTAGTCTGTAAGTAATTTTCAGACAGTGAAGTTTTTATTCAGGATTGTTAAGACATGGTTTTTGCATGCTGTCAATTGAGATATCTTCTTTGGTGAAAGTCTTGACAAATAATATCAAAACTCATAACAATACTTTATACTGTTAACATGAATATTTTGACAATTTCAGTGCATAAACAAAAAGTGCACCTTTCACATCAATATTGGTTGATTAACAAACTATTAATCTGCGATGAGTTTATTAACATATATTTGGGATATTTTCTCAATTTTTTGTGATTGTGAAATTATTGATAATAACCCTGGCAGTAAAATTCCCAAATTTCGTTTTTTTTTATTTAAACATTTCAGATAATGCTACTTCTATAATGATAATTTCAGACTAAAAGTCATTTAGTCATTTAGTCAAAATGACAAACATCAATATACAACACATAGCACAGATTAATTGTAACAAAACTCAAATGCTTAAGAAAAAGAGCATTTTTATACCACTCATATACATATTTGTTAACTCTACCTTATCTACAAATGAAAATTCAGTAATACAAAAAAGACCAAAATATTTTCAGGAATTTTTCATTTTCACATAGTACAAGTCCATTGTGGATCATACAGTTCATTTTAAAAACTCATTATAGATACAAAACCTAAAATATAGTATGTCAGACCCAACTGTTGCTTGAAACTAAACAGTAGGAAAACCAAATCAATTACAAAGGAGTAGAGCCAGGCACCCCAATAAACGTTTGGTTTTTTTTTAATTTAATTATTAAAGTAAATCTAATTAATGTGCATTGCTAATGAATGATATTTGAAAGTACAATAAGAAAAGGTATATCTGCTTCATATTTATATAGATGTAAGCCTAAAATAGGAAAAAAATGTAATTTTCATCCATTTTCTTAGAAATGTTCAACTTTTTTCACTTTATTTCATGATTTTATATGTGGTGCCACCCCTATCCCATTGAATTTTTTTTTGAAAAGTAAAGAATATGGTATATGAAGAATATTTCAGCAAAAATATTTGTGGGGGAAGGGTGGCACCACAATTATTTTTACAGAAAACTGTCATAAATTTTGCCGAATTCTGCAAAAAATCAAGATTTTCCGAAATTCACCTACATTATGACGTCACAAATACGTCACTAATGACGCAATTGGTGAAAATCTTTTTTTGCTGCTAAACTATTGGACATTTAAGCATATGTTCACCACATTTTTGTAGTGAAAAAAATATCAGATTTTTAGGGCCAAAATTATGAGTTAGTGAACCAACTCTTTAGAAGAGCATTAAAAAACCATACGTATTTAAAACCTGTCTAATCTGCTCGCTTAGAATATTGCATGGACAGTAGAACCATTTACCAGACTTTGTATCCAATTTCACTTTAAACATGTCTGTGCAGTTAGGATATTGCTTAAGTCAACACTTTGCTCAATCAATTAATTTCTAAAAGTTTTCCAATTTTTGCAGATAATTTTTGAGTTTTATAATCTTATTTTCTTGGACCAAGAAAAGGTTGGGAATGGACGATTTTCAAAAATTTCAAAATTATAGTGACACTTGTCAAAATTGGTCTCCTTAATAATCAGAAACATGTGTGAACTGAACTTGTGTATCAGGACATGTGGTGAACAGTTCTTAAAGTAAAAATCATTTTTCACCAAACTCCTGTCTAATATGAATAACTCTTTAGTCTAAAATACAATCTGCATTATCATTCCCCTTGCTGAAAAATGTTGTTGATTTATGAATGAAACAATCATATCAAATAGTGATGTTTAATTGAGTCCTTGTAAAAGTTTGAAGTGTGAAAAGCTATAGAATGTGATATCTTTCATGTGAAGTTTTTAACCTAATGAATGTTAATCATTAGAAAATTGCCCAGCACCTTGAAAGAATCGGAATAAGTTAGTTCTTGGCGATTGAAGTATGGGATAGTAATGTTCAATTCATTTACTTCTCATGGTTACACATCAACTTATTCAAATTTTATTCTCATGTAAATAACAAAATAAATTATGGGTAATTTCATTGGTCATACACTAAAATTAAAAATAATGTTAAAAGCTCTAAATCTATTGTTTTTGAAGTTCTCAACAGATAACTTTTACGTGCACTTTTCAAATTATTACCTGAAATGCATTTGATTCAGAAATATGTTAAAAGAGATATATTGATACTGTATCAACAAAAGTGTTAGTCTTATTTATGAACCATTCTCCTTTATTTAAGAAACATTCTGATGAACCAGGTTTTTTAAATCTTTTGATGTGAACAAGAACTGAAAAAAATGTTGAGGGGTTGAGAACATTAAGGGGAGAACAATTATCCAGGTCATTTTGTCACAATCTATGCACACTTGCTTAATCTTAGTTTAAAAACTGTATGGACAATCCTTATATTGTTAGGATATCTTACTAACATTATGTCCAATAATTAACATAGTGCATTGATAACTTCATTCTATACATCATATGCCTTTCAAGAAATTAATCACTGAAATATATGCTCAGATATTCAAGTTACAATTGTAGTTGAACCAGCTACAAAATTATCTCCTGTTCATTAAACCAACTACAATATTATCTCTAGTTCATAGTATTGCCTTCCAATGCATATGCATATTTGGCTTTAAGTTTCCTGATAAACGAAAGCAATCCTTACCCTACAGTGCTTGAAAGCACTTTGATTAGTTGGTTTTGCTATTATGAGGACATGAAGAGAGGTGACATAACTCAAAAGAACACAATTGTGCATATCTTAAAGAAAGCATGACAACATATCCTTCAAAAATTAGTACAGAAACATATTCTACCATGTCAACATATTGAATAAGATATTGACACATTTATGTTTTTATATATCTTAACTTGAGAAATATTGTATCTCACTCAAAGTATTAGTAGAAATATAATTGTCTCAACAAAATTTCCATGATAGATATCTTATATTGACCAGATTGTTAAACTTTTAAATAAGCTTCAAAATTTCTCCTATAATTGGCTAATTATTTTAAGATATGACTTTTCTGATCAAGATTTATTCCCCTTAGTTTTCTAACAATTGGGTGTTTCTTTTATTTCAGGATGATAGTAAATGTTCCACCTGACAGAATCTTTTTTGAATTTAAACACAATGTCATGGACCATAATATAAAGGTCAAGATTGATTTTGACGGTGGACATTTACCCATTCAAGAATTATGCTACAGTTTGGGGGTATCTATACTATATAAACTCAATATACATAAACATTTTGTCTTTTGAAAAATAGTACATATTTATAATCACTCATTTTCCAAACAAGCTATAAGATTGTGTCTTGAGTTATTTTTTATGTCAACTGGAGTCACGTCACAGTGTAATGTGTAATTTTATCCTTGTTTATTTTATTCTATCATCTCATTTTTCCCAATGAATGGACAAAGGTCTGAAAGAATAAAAAAAAAAACAATTCCAAAAACAAAATATGTACATCTTTGATTTGATCTTTGATTTGTAAAATACTTTTTTACTGACTGAGATAATCAAGCTTTAATATTAAAACCTTTTAGAATAAGAGTACCCTTTAACTGGAACCAGTTTTTACAGTTCCCTTTGTATTTTAGAAATTGATTTCATACTGTATTAAATAACAGATTGAACATATATTCTCTGAGTTCAAGTTTGATTTGTTATTTTTATAATTTATAGCTCCAGTTCCTAAAAGAATATGAAAGAATTATTTTTGTCAGATTCTACACTACATATTATTAAGGGAGTTAAAATGTTGAATTGAAGCTAAAAATAGAAAAAGCAACAATAGAAAGCTGTAAGTGACTTTTATGAAGTTCAGCTTGATTTGTCATTACTAGGGGAGCTAAATAACTACTTGCCATAGCAAGATATAAAAAATATTTTTTACATAATTGCTTTGTACGTGAGGGATAATTTGGCACATACAAACATGGTCACAAAATAAGATTTTTAATGGGTAACATTAAAAACAAAAACAAAATTAAAGTATCTGAATTATAACACTGCTGATGGTCATAACTTGGTAGATCAAAAATGTTATATGCTGACATAAATTTTTGTTCACTAGTCTTTTGAAAATTGCAAAAAAGATATATAATCTTTGTTAGAAAATATTTGTTTTTTTTACCAGAAACAAGGAGAACACTTTATTATGCCTACATGCTATTCCTGTTTCTAATATTTTCACAAATTTTATTTACTATCTACGGAGGGTTTTAATAACCTTGACTACCCATGAGGGTTATTTTCTATCAATGCACATAAATTGTATTTATACTTGCATCCTGCTGTTTTAGTGAACACTTGGTCGTTAATAGTATGGATGCCTTATATAAATGCTGAAATTATTCTCCATTGCACATTTGTTCATTTTGCTTGGACTGTCTCAAAATGTCTATTATTACTTACATTGTATATTGTTAATTAAAGAGATGTATAAAAATCAAAATGAAACGTTTCAGAATTTTAAATGTTTTCTTTGTATTCTTTATATTACATAGTCATCTTTCTTAAGTAGTTGGATAGTATTCTTTAATAACTCAAGTTCATGCTTTAAATGAAAACAAATATCTATCAGTGGACAGCTAAAACAAAAATGTCACATTTTGAAACAGTCCACAACACAAACATAGCTAGCTCTAAATAGTGATACTTGTTAAATTTAAATGTGAAATGCAATTATAATGTTTTTGTTCTGTAGAATAAATGTTCATGATGTTATTATTTTAAGTTATCACATGACTTTTTATAAAGGTCACATGGGTTGTTTTTGCTGATTTGTTGAGTGTTTGTAATGAATGTGATATGTTTTCATGTTAAAAAGCACCTCAGTGAGAAAGTTGTTTTGTTTTTAGATATTTATTAATCTTTGTGTACATTTATTAACTTGTAGTTCTTACTTCAAGAATTAATATACATATTAAAATCTTGATAACATCACTAAACACGTGTTGTAGTTATTATATACCGATACATGTAATTTATTCTTACTTTTTTAATTGGTAGTTATAAGACAATAAATTTAAAGGGTATCTTCCACAATGAAATCATTCAGAATTGGATGGTAAATAATCAATTAGACTCTTTTCAATCTAAATTAAATACTTTTGATTTGATTGAAAAGAGCCCTTATAGACACCTGCAAAAGATGGTAAAATATGTCAACCCTTATAACATGCATAACAATAATTTGAATATTAAATACAACACAAATTGGATAGTATTTACAATTTAATGTGAAAAAAGTGTATAGCAATATCAAAACGAAAATAATATTGAGACGAGACTAACAAAGAAAAAAAAATTACTATTTAATTCAGTTTTAGCATGGGTCAATTTCCAACATAGTTGTGTTGAATCATTCTCTTTTATTGTTAAAAGTTTATTCTCAATTCATTGTGTAGCATGTGTTAATTTCCAACATCGAACCGAACCTTTACACAATTGCTGCTGTTATACTACAATTAAAACTACTGTTAAATCAACATCCATATAATAATATAACACTTATGACTTGTAAGAGAAAACGACTTTCAATTTTTCTCTTCATCTTAGCTAATAATTTATGAAACATTATTATCGATATTTGGTTATTTGTTTGGTCATTATTCATGTTAGGGTGATAATCAACGTGTCAAAATTAACATAAAAATATAGTAAATGAAGTTTAACATAACAGCTACAATTATATATACTAACTTTTTAGACAGTCACAAGAAACAAAAAAAAGGAACCCAAATAGCGAAACAAAAATATATCACATTCTATGTGATTAGAACATATCAATATCGAGCTACAAATAAATCACTTCGGAACGGTGAGCTTTTGCCATCACTTGGCGTCCGTCGTCGTTGTCCGTCTGGTGTAAACTATTTAGAACATCTTTTCCTCTAAAACTGCAGAACCAATTCCTACCAAAATTTTAGCTGAATGATCCTTAGGGTATCTAGAATAAAATTTGTGTTTTATTTTCTGTTTCGTCAAAAAACATGGCTGCCATGGCTAAAAAATAGAACATAGGGGTAAAATGCAGTTTTTGGCTTATATCTCAAAAACCAAAGCATTTAGAGCAAATCTAACGGGATAAAAGTGTTCATTAGGTAAAGTTTTATGAGCCCTGAAATTTTCAGATGAATCTGATAACCCATTGTTGGGTTGCTGCCACTAAATTGGTAATTTTAAGGAAATTTTGCAGTTTTTGGTTATTATTTTGAATAATATTAATGATAAAGATAAACTGTAAACAGCAAAAATGTTCAGCAAAGTAAGATCTACAAATAAGTTGATATGACCAAAATTGTCAATTGACCCCTTAAGGAGTTATTGCATTTTAAGGACAATTTTTCACAATTTGTTTATCATGTTTTCTAACTTTGAAAATTCCTCTCCTCTGAAACTACTAAACCAATTCCAATCAAACTTAAGCTGAATGATTCTTAGGGTATCTAGAATAAAGTTTGTGTTTTATTTTCTGTTTCATCTAAAAACATGGCTGCCATGGCTAAAATAGAACATAGGGGTAAAATGCAGTTTTTGGCTTGTATCTCAAACACTTTAGCATTTAGAGCACATCTGATATGAAGTAAAATTGTTCATTAGGTCAAGTTCTATCAGCCATGAAATTTTCAGATGAATCTAACAACCCATTGTTGGGTTGCTGCCACTAAATTGGTAATTTTCAGGAAATTTTGAAGTTTTTAGTTATTATCTTGAATATTAATAATGATAAAGATAAACTGTAATTAGCAAAATGTTCAGCAAAGTAAGATCTACAAAAAAGTTTTTATGACCAAAATTGTCAATCGACCCCTTAAGGAGTTACTGCCCTTTAAAGACAGTTTTTTTGAATTTGTTCATCTTGTTTGCTTGCTTTAAAATTGCTGAATCAATTTCAGCAAAACTTTGGCTGATTGAGTTTCAGAATATCTAGTATAAATTTTGTTTTTTATTTCCTTGTACGTCAAGAAACATAACCACTATGACTAAAATGGAACAGTGGGGGTAAAATGCATTTTTTTCGCTTTTGAAGAAAATATGACAGATACAAAGAACATTTAAATGGAATTTTTAAGACACTCATTAATATATATATTAAAAAGCAAAATTATCATTGTGGAAAGATTTTAAGCAAAAAATAACAGGTGAGCGATTCAGGCTCTTGAGAGCCTCTTGTTTTATTTTAAACGTATCCTTCTATCTCATTAGTAGTGGATTCATATTTAATAAACTATGCTATATAATTCATTTATGTATGATATTGCATGATGAGATAAATATAAGAAGCACAAATAACCAACATGATTCTCATTGAAGTAAAACAAGAATGAAGATAAGCAGTTCGAAGTGGCAAGCCGAGACTACTATGACATATACCTGTAGCTTCAGTGCCAATGGAGAATATACTAAATTTATCCCAATTCATTTTATTATTGAATATCACTAACCAATAACAAAGGTCTTCCAATTCTAATCAGTTCAATTCGATAAATAAATACTAAATGATTTCTGTTTAATTTTGACAATTGGAAGCAATATGATTGTTTGCAAGATGCCGATCTCACTGTGGATGTGCATTGTTTATATATCGCACATATATAAACTAGTTTTTTTTAAATTATAATCAACAGACAATAATATTAAATGAAACAGAAAAAATGTATTGTGGATTCCTTTATTTTTGTGGGTATCAATTTTTGTTGATTTGGGAAACTTCATTTATTTTCGCGGATATTTATTTTCAAGGTTTTACCAGATTGCATACAAGTCTAAAGAAATTTATACTTTGTTGAACATTCAAATTCGTGGTTTGGCTATACCAACGAAAATTACAAAAATTGGTACCCCACGAATAATTATGAATCCAAAGTATTTGTAATGAATCATCAAAAAACATCAAATACCAAAACCGATTTCCCCCATTCGTTGACAATATACAGTTTACTATAGTCTTGGTTGAAGCACAAGGCAACAGGTTCCTTGATTCCATGTTTTGAATCCAATGGTATGTCTAATACTTTCCAATTCTTTTCCGTTTCAAATTTTCCGATCTGCCGATTCAAATATCCTGCTAGTCTGTGGATGTTGTTCGATCCCTGTCCACTGACATAGATGTGACCGTTGTCGTCGGAGCATATGTCATTGGGTGTATCTATGGTGGCAATATTATCTATCTTAATTCGATTTTCCAATCCTTCGTTATACGTAATATAGTTTTGACCTCCTATGCAAGATAACCAAGAATCTTCATTAACTGTATGGAATTTTAAAACACATGAACCAATTTCGTATCCATTTTCTTCTACGCCTGTGATGTTACTGAAATAAAAAAAACAAAACAAAAAACTAATATGTTTATGATACCGTAGAGCATTTAGTCAAGGATTTCTTTATAAAAACATCGGTTTTATTAAAATTCTTTCATAGCTTAAAACATGTTGGGAAGTTTGGAGAATCGTCTTCATCGGTACTAACATTGATTTTTAGCTCACCTGACCTGAAAGGTCAAGCGAGCTTTTCTCATCACTTTGCGTCCGTCGTCCTGCGTCCGTCGTCCGTTGTCCTGCGTCCGTCGTCCGTCGTCCGTAAACTTTTACAAAAATCTTCTCCTCTGAAACTACTGGGCCAAATTTGACCAAACTTGGCCACAATCATCATTGGGGTATCTAGTTCAAAAAATGTGTCCGATGACCCCGCCAACCAACCAAGATGGCCGCCATGGCTAAAAATAGAACATAGGGGTAAAATGTAGATTTTGGCTTATATCTCTGAAACCAAAGCATTTAGAGCAAATCTGACCTATTATAGATAGACATAGGGTAAAATTGTTTATCAGGTCAAGATCTATCTGCCCTGAAATTTTCAGATGAACCGGACAACCCGTTGTTGGGTTGCTGCCCCTGAATTGGTAATTTTAAGGAAATTTTGCCGTTTTTGGTTATTATCTTGAATATTATTATAGATAGAGATAAACTGTAAACAGCAATAATGTTCAACAAAGTATGATCTACAAATAAGTCTACTTGACCAAAATGGTCATTTGACCCCTTAAGGAGTTATTGCCCTTTATAGTCAATTTTTAACCATTTTTCGTAAATTTTTGTAATCTTTTACAAAAATCTTCTCCTCTGAAACTACTAAGACAAATTTAACCAAAATTGTCCACAATCATCATTAGGGTATCTAGTTTGAAAAATGTGTCCGATGACCCTGCCCGCAAACCAAGATGGCCGACACGGCAAAAAAATAATACATAGTGTAAAATGCAGTTTTTGGCTCATATCTCTGAAACCAAAGCATTTAGAGCAAATCTGATGATATAAAATTGTTCATTAGGTCAAGATCTATCTGCCCTGAAATTTTCAGACCAATCAGGCAACATGTTGTTGGGTTGCTGCCCCTGAATTGGTAATTTTAAGAAAATTTTGCAGCTTTTGGTTATTATCTTGAATATTATTATAGATAGAGATAAACTGTAAACAGCAATAATGTACAGCAAAGTTAGATCTACAAATAAGTCAACATGACCAAAATTGTCAATTGACCCCTTAAGGAGTTATTGCCCTTTATAGTCAATTTTTTACAATTTTCATAAATTTTGTAAATTTTTGTAAATTTTTACAAAATATTTTCCACTGTAACTACTGGGCCAAGTTCATTATAGATAGAGATAATAGTAAGGAGCAAGACTGTTCAGTAAAGTAAGATCTACAAACACATCACCATCACCAAAACACAATTTTGTCATGAATCCATCTGTGTCCATTGTTTAATATGCACATAGACCAAGGTGAGCGACACAGGCTCTTTAGAGCCTCTAGTTTTAGATTTTAGATAAATAAAAACTTAAACATAAAAATAAGAAGATGTGGTGCGATTGCCAATGAGACAACTTTCCACCAGAGACTAAATGACATAGAAGGTTAGCAATTTAAGTCACCGTACGGTTTTTATCAATGAGCAAAACGCATAACGCATAGCAAACTATGAAAGGCTACGAAATGGCAAATTTAAAACAAATAAAAGGAAAAAACTAACGGTCTGATTTATGAACAAAACAATAAACAAAAAACTAATATGATAGGAACTGGCTACGATTACGTTGAAAACGTACAATAACAAAAAAACATGGTAGTTTGGGCACTAAATGCCAGAATACTAAGTTGGGTTAGGAACCGATTAATTACGAACGTAACAATAATATTTGTGTCTATGGTTACGTTGTGTTATTGATACGTTAATGCTCAATTCAGCTTTTTATATTCAACTTGGTTGAAATGTAAAAAAAAATTAAACATAAGAATACTAGTCGAGTAGTATTTGTGAAGGCAATTGATTTTGACATTTGTTGACTGATGTCAACATTATTGAGCTGACTGAGATGAACCGATTTTCATTTTCATCGTCCAGATGTTTAGTGATCGTTATTTCGTTTTTATTGGCGTTTGTACATGCTCTTTTGAACAGTTTATCAAGTACTTCATCTGATTTGTAAACGAAATTACGTCCGCCATGAATACATGCATACACAAGTTCACAATATTTTAGTTCATTGCTGTCAAACTTTGCTTTTTATGTATCAATTTTTCGCTCACTCCGTTTATATAACTGTATGAAATGTTATTATTAGGTCTTTCCACTCTTATATTCAAAATTAGCTGTATGGTGATATAACTCATTAACCATATATAGTTGAGACCTAGAGTCTTTTGATTCGAGGTCCTTGTTTTATAATCTTGAAATTGGGATCAAGGTAAAAAATTGATTTGACGTTCTAGAATTTGACCTTTGCTCTAATTTTTTTTGTTTAAAATAAAGCTTTTGTTCTGATTATTAGGTCTTTCCACTTATCCGTGGAAAGACCTTTTGCTTTTGTTTTGATTATTAGGTCTTTCCACTTTTCCGTGGAAAGATCTTTTCTTTTGTTTTGATTATTAGGTCTTTCCACTTTATCGTGGAAAGACCTTTTGCTTTTGTTCTGATTATTATTTTTTTTTCTTCTGCCTAATTTTTTTCATGCGCTGTGTTGTTATTTCAAAAGATGTTGCTTAGATATTTTGCATATGATATCGAACAGTTTATACGTTTGAAACTGACACCGCTTAACCGAATACTTTATTTTGTAAGAGTTATCTCCCCGAACACTGTTTTTCTTGTGCGTACTACTCCTTTGCAACCGTAAAAGATTACGACAAATTTATTTTACCAAATTACTCGTTACATCCTCAGGTTGTCAAGAATTATTTTGATCGAAGAGATCTGAACATTCCATATGAGAGTTAATTCCCCTTATGTATTTGACTTAAGAGAAATGCAATAGAAACTCATAAATCTTAAGTGATAGAGACCTAGGGTCCTCTGATTTGAGGTCCTGGGTCCATCAAAAAGAAATTAAGGTCAAGGTCGAAGGTTAAGGTCATGTTTATTTTGTTTGCTTTTTCTTGTGCATACTTCTAAGAAACTGTAAAAGATATCGACAAAAGATTTTCACTTAATTGTTAGTTGTGATCTGTCGCAATAGGAAATGTTTATTCAAAGCGAAGCGGTAACATTCATTAGGAGTTTTCTCCCCTCAAATGTTAAAAGTAAGATGTATTGTAATGTAACTTATTAACGACCTAAAGCCTTTTGATATTAGGTCCTTGCTTGATGACCTTGAAATTAAGGTCAAGGTCATAGGTAAATTTAACGTCCTAGATTTTGACCTTTGCTCTAACTTCATGTTAATACATGATAAAGCCATGGGACTTTTTGCATAAGATTGCAAGCCATATGACCTTAGAAAAGCCAACCGGAAGTGACCCTGTGTAAACCGGAAGTAGTTTTTTTGTACTTTTTTAATGTAAAAGTATACAGAACCATACATTTTTGGAATCAGTGTCAAATATTATTATCGTATTATATTATTTTACAAACATAAAGTAACAAGTTATCTCCCTTATTTCAAACAAAAATGTATAAAAACAATATATTATATATTAATTCAAAATATGTCGCTTAGATTTTTGGTATATGATATCTAACAGTTTATACGCTTTTGAAGGTGACACCGCTTCAACGAATATTTTATTTTGTAAGAGTTTATCCCCGAACACTGTTTTTCTTGTGTATACTACTCCTTCGCAACCGTAAAAGATTACAACAAATTTATTTTACCAAATTGCTTGTTATATCATCAGGATGTTTTTGATCGAAGCGGTATAGAGATTCCATATGAGAGTTATTTCACCTTATGCATTTGATATAAGTGATATGCATTTGTAACTGGTAAAACATCAGTGATAGAGACCCAGGGTTTTTGATTTGAGGTCCTTGGCCCAAAAGAAAAAAAAAATAAGGTCAAGGTCAAATGTCAAGGTCATATTCAAATTTTGATTTTGGCTTATTTTCACTTCTTTTCAAAAATCATATAAGATTTTGACAACACATTTTCACTAAATTTTTAGTTACGACATGTCGTAACACATAAGTTTTCTCCCATCTTATATTTAATATTACCCGTATGATGATATTACTCATTAACCAAATATAATAAAGACCTAGGGTTGATTTGAGGTCATTGGTAAATGACCTTGAAATTGCGGTCAAGGTCATAGGTGAATTTGACGTTCTAGATGTTTACCTTTGATTTAACTTCATATGTATACATGTTTAAGCCTTGGCACTTCGTACATTAGCTTGCAAGCCATATGACCCTGAAAAAGCAACCGGAAGGGATCTTGTGTAAACCGGTAGTAGCTGTTTTTTGTACTTATCTAATGTAAAAGAATAGAACCATATTTTTTGAGAATTAGTGTGAAGCAAACTATCAAATAATACCGGAAGAGACATTTTTCAATCCAGAAGTAACAATTATCTCCCTTAATTCAAACAAAAGTGTTAAGAAACCATATATTTTTGGATTCATCGTACAATAAGCTATCAGATGACACTTGAAATGACATTTTAAACCGAATTTTAATATTTGCATATCAAAATATATTGTTTCGGGTGGAAAGACCTTTTTTTTTTTTTTTTTTTTACGTCCGCCAAATTTTATTCTTGCGTGTAATTTTTGTTTCGCAACATGTCGCTTTAATATTTGGTATATCTTATCGTACAGTTTATGCGCTTTCAATTATCTCCCTAAACACTGTTTTTCTTGTGTGCACATCTCCTTCGCAACCATTTAAGAAATCGATAAATTTGTTTTTTCCAAAATGGCTCGTTAAATCCTCAGGATGCTTCGATCCATTTTAATCGAAACGATACAGAGACTCCATATGAGAGTTATTTCCCCTTTTATATTTGACATGAGTGATATCCAAATGTAACTCATG